ATTAATTTATTAAAGGAGTGTTTGACTACACATGATAATTGGTAAAATGTGATCTGGTCTCTTTTTATCATTCTACCCTAATAGATAATTACAAGAAACATATAATTTATAAGTTTTTATATTTTATTAGTAATTAAAATGACTAATATAATAAAATAAAGTTTAACAATTTTTTTTTAAGAATAATAATACTTTTATCTGTGTTTTTTAAATAAATGAAATACAATATAATTTTTTAAATGCTGTGTTATTTTTAGTTATTTAGTATACTAATTAACAAAAAAAGATATTTAATTTCATTCAAGCAAAAAAAATATAAATATTACACAGATGGCATAATATAATCAGGACATGTTTTTATTAGATGTCCACGACATATTAATTTTACATAATTCGAACAAACTTTTATAGTTTTTTGATCTTTGGACCTTTCACAAAAAGTACACCTTTCAGAGTAAGTTTGTAATTTTTGAACAGATCTATTGCCAATGGAACACTGGTAAACCAATTGTCTGTTGTTATATTACGTCCCGTTTTTCTAATTGGCTCTACTAATCATTTTACTACACTTGCAGTAGAATTATTGAATATGAAAGGACCGTCTAATCCAACATATATTTCCAAGTTGTTTGTATAATAATTTATAGCATCAACTTATGTAAAAATTTGAATGCCACATTCAACTGATTTGTTAGGAATGTACATTTTAAAACTACAATAACCTCAAAATATTTGTGATTTTTCGTCAATTGTTACGTACTTAGAAATAGAATATGCTTTTTTAAATTATTAACAAAATGTTCAAATACCCACTGGATGTGTGTGATTTTATCTAACTTAATTCTCTCATTTCTACTACGGACATCGTCGAATCGGATACATCTCAATAAAAATTGAACGTGTTTTTTGAACATTGCACATTGTAATAACTCTGCTCCAAGTCCATCGGATTTCCACAAATCAGCTGAGCTTTGGTATCCACCTTTGATAGCACCTAAAAATAAATAATACTACATAATTTGTAAACTTTTTTAAGAGCCTCATTATGTTCTTCTTTTGTTTTTCCATAAATTAATATATCGTCAATACACACACATACATTTTGAATATCCCCAAAATATTCATTGGTTAATTGTTGGGACAATTTAAGTGCACTTGCTATTCCAAATGGTAGTCTATTAAACTTATATGTACCATACGGTGTACTAAATGCACAGTATTTTTTTAAACAGTCTTCTAACTCACATTGATAAAATCCGTCCTTCAGGTACACCAATGTATAAACTTTTTTATTGATCAATTTATTATTTATTATTTTTTACTTAATCTAGAGTTGGAATCTAAACCCTTTCTCTCACAATGTTTTTATTTAAGTCCTTAGCCACATTCTAAGTGATTTATCTAGTTTTTCTATTATTACTAAACTTTTTGACATTCACTTGGTTCTTTACTTTTCTCAAATATTTTTTTTGAACATAATATCCTTAAAAGTTCTTTTATTTTTCCCATTAATTTTATAAGGACCCCTCTAGGGTTATTTATTATGGGTAAACTTCTCTGTTTTAACTTTATCTGGAAAAAAACCAATACCTGTATATATGCTTTTATGTTTATTTATGAAATTTGAGCTAATTTCTTCTTGTATTTCACTCAACTCATTAATATAGTTTATTAAATTGCAATCTTTATACTCCAATATTAATTTTTCTTCATGTTCAACCACTTCAAATATTGTATCAATTTATGCTGATTGACGTGTAACAACTACCTGTACCTTACCCATTGACTTAATTGTTGCCCCTCCAAACACCTTGATTACTAGCTTACTGCCTTTTAATTCTGTTTTCAATTTTTTATACAATTTATTTGGCATTACATTTAATTTTCTCCTATATCTACCTTTAATTGAGTTTTTATATAATTAACTTTTACCTTTTTTAACCAAGTATTATTTTCTTTATGAACTATTTCACCTAAAGCTACACATTCAATTTTATTATTACTTTCATATTCAACCACATCAATTTGTCTATTATTTTTACATTTAGCCGCAAACATTTTTTATATCTTACACTATTTTCCATATGCTGGACATTCCTTAATTCTATGTTGCTTACCACATTTGTAACAATTTCATTTTTTTTCTTGATCATTCTTCCAGTGGTTGTTTTGACTTTGTTTTACACCCAGCCACTGTCCAATTCCTTGACTCCTAATCCCACTTTTATATCATTTCACTACATCAACCTCAATAGTTTGCTGTTCTACTGCTTGACATAATTGAATTACTTTGATCAAGGTTAGTTCTTCTCTCAACAATCTGGTTTGCAGTTCCTTATTAGCTGTTCCCAATACAATTTGCATTCTTAATAACGTGTTTTTAATAATCCCAAAATTACATGTTTTAACCAATACTCTTAGTTCAGCATAGTATTTATAGATTTTTTCGCGAATCACCTGTTATCTGATAAAGAATTTGAAATGTTCCATAACTTCATTACCTCCACGCCGAGTAAATTGAGTAATCTTGGTACATGTGTTTTTGAGGTTTGTCTATTGTTTCCGTTGCTTCAAAGAATACTATAACTTCATCCTTGAATAACTTAAAATTCTCTGCTATATTTCCAGATACTAAGTTTTCGGGTATATTGAAATCCATCATTCTAGATACTTTTACTCGGTTTTTATCTGTTTCGATATCCACTTCTAATACTTTCTGCATAAAACGACCGACTGCGCCATGTTGTATATATTTTTAAAAAGGTTTAAATATTTTATATTTCTTTTATTATTTGTAATTTTAACATTATTCATATTTATAATAATTTACTTAAATGAGTGCTTGACTGTACATGACAACTGGTAAAATGTGATCTGGTTCCTTATCACTCTACTCTGATAGATTAGTTACCATTATATATATCATTACAGTTATCATTATAAAAAAAGGTAAATATTTTCAGTTTGGTTCGTAAAAATACTTATTGTTATGTCTTATAATTTGTATAATATACTTCACATTACATTAAAATTATGGCAATTAGGACAATTAAAGTGATACGTCCTACATCGCTATACATTCTAACTTGACTTAAAAATTTAACAGGATATCTACTAAAAATCGGGAAATCATAATGTGGTTATCCTGAAGGAATTTTTTGAAAATCATTGGAAAAAACGTGGTATTTTGAAATCTGGTGTAGAAACTATTGATTAGTTGTTGTGTTGATTAATATCGAATTGAAAAATAATTTTTCAACTTGATAATGTTATATTAATTGTCTAATAAATTCTTATGCTGTCGTTTATAAAAAAACCACCCTGTTAAAAATATAAGTTGTTTGCTTTTACTTTTATAATATAATATTGTATACAAGTCGATAAATGTACGTTTTAGATTCTGAGCGAAGTAAGGAATGTATTGGTTTTACAATGATGCGTATTTATTTTTTCAAGTGTAGCACACTTTTTCTGATAGCAAATTTAACTGGAGTGATACTTAAAGAAATCATTTTTTTAAATTTCCTAAGTGTTTTCATAATAAATGATAAAGAACATGGGAAAAACAGGAAAATGTACGAAATTTATTATTTTTGAATTGTAAATATTACGGCCTTTTAAAAAAATATACCAAAATAAACTAAACTCTGAAATCGTTTTTCGAAAGCAATGATTAATCTTTGCATACAGATATATATTCAATTTCTTCTTTATCTTCTAACTTCTCACCTACAACAATGGCCCAACCATCGAGTATGCCCAGTTTTATATATTTTCCTATTTAGATTTTAAATTTGTCGATACTTCAATTCGAATTTATTACTTGTTTTCCAGATTTTAAGTAACGATATCAATATTTTAAATAACTCACCAATCCATTTAATACTGGTGTTGCCGGTGTTCCTGTTAAACTTTAGATGGAAATATTATAGATTTACAGTCCCAAGATATTCTTAAAAATGCTTTTAAATAATCGTTTTTAATTTTAGATTCTGAGCGAAGCGAGGAATGAATTGATTTTACGAAGTTTATTTTTTTTTATAGGTTTTTTTTATCTGTAAACATTTCTACCAGAATCTTTAAATATGTAATTTTTTAATTTTCAAAGGTATTTTCATAATAAATGGGAAAACCGGAGAAAACGGAAAAAATATATTATTTTTAGTTATGTTTTTTTTTTTTTTTTTGTGGATCTGTTAAAAATATTCAACTTGAAATTTAGACAGAAAACTTTTACTTGCCTTTTATAGATGCAGTAAAATTTTCGAAACATTTTAGCCATTTTTAATATATTTATTAACACATTAATTTTGCGAGGTTTTTACGTGCTTTAATTCGGTAGGTACTCTATTCGGTACTTTTGGGATAAAATTGTCAGACTAGACATAAATACTTAAAAATTGAACACGAGGTACATTATAGATCGTACATTGTGGTTAAAAATACACAAACTATATAACTGTTCTCTTGGAATTGTCGGACGGCAGTGACAATTCAATTAAAATAGATATTGACTGACAATATTGTGTGAGCATATCATTACAGTATGATACACTTTGTAAAACAAATTATATTTTTCAGTAGATTTTAATGTAATTGTATGAGTTGTATAACCCTCAAAATATTTGGAGTTTTGATGTGCATGGAACAATACAACCATAAAAAACAAGAATAAAAGTAGATAAAAAAAAAACTGCTATGACATATTATTAAAATATTATACGAAACGGTGAAAAAACACAATTTCCAATATAAGCGAAATAAACACATAACATCTTATTAATAGTAATCCATTTTGAAAAGGTTTTGAAGTTATTAATCACAGTCCTACGGATATATTTGGACACAAAAATATTTAGTAGTAGGAAAAGAAGTTGGCCGAGAATTCTATTTTATTTTACTTTTATTTAATTGATTATTATCGTTCGATTGTATTTTCGCCGTTTCATTTCATTTATTAGTTCACTAGAATCATCATACATGAGTTATTTTTTCATTATGGTGGTGGTGGTGGTGGTGGTGTTGACGGTCCCGATGGTGTGACAGGTCCCCTTGGTAACTGTGATAAACTTCCAAGCAATAATAAAATAACGTAGAATAAGTAAAAAATAATACAATTCAAATACATTACTGTAGGTAATGCTTTCTACACGCTCGCCGTTAAATATTTGAATAGGCTTGTAGTGATTAAACAGGTGTCAAATGACTTAGATCTATTTTCGTAGTAGATCTTGCAAAAAGTAATCTTGTACTCTCGTAGACAATAGTTGTTGGCCGTTGTTGATTGTATAGTACGATACACTTGATATAACTGATGATGTTTTCACGCAATTTCGATTTATATATTCCGTACTGAACACATAAATTATAGACCCCCTATTATGAACAGCACACATTATACACAAGTGCGTTTCCACATCATTTGTACAAATATAGTTATTTTATTTTGATGTATTGCTCAAGAAAAATAATTTGAAGCTTTGTCACAGTTCACGCTGTGTGATAAAACTAATATTTGTGTTTAATATTTATTTCCTTTTATTATTATTTATTATTTATTTATTACTATACAAATATGTGTACGTCGTGTTTAAATTAATTAATTACAAGTATGACACCCATCTAAAAAGACACCTTGTGACTGGAGGGGCCAGTCACTAAGATTATGTCATGTTAATATAAGTATTGTTGTGAAGTACGTATAGTTTATAAATTAATAATAAATATATAAAAAGGTAAATAGAATAAAACGTAAAACTAGTAATAATGAATAATAATTATTTTTTTCCCTTTTTTTTAATTCGTTAGGTACATATATATATATATATGTATTACATTCTTTAATTATAAGATCACTAAAACTAATAGAACTAAGATATTTTTTGAAATATTTAAAGGATCAAAAATGATGTATAATAGAATTTTCTATACAAAACCAAGTAAAAGGATAATAAGGCCTAGATTGTGTAAAGACAATTCTAATTTATGGCTTTTATAAATGGGTATTTGCCGTTTAACTAACAGCAGACATTCTACACGAGTCCGCTCCCAATTGATCAATCGTTAAAAACTTTGTCGAAATGTGGAAGTAATATTATTTCACGTTTTAAAACAATATATCCCTAATTGTAGCAGCAGTATTTTAATAAGTTGAAACCAAAAATAACCGTGTTTAGATATCCTAACCAGTTTTCATAATAATTGGGAAAAACTGTCAAAAGACAACATTAAAGATTTCATTGTTTTAAATTTTTTTGAATTTTAATTCCAGAGATATTGCTTCAAATATTAATAATATATTAACTTTTCTGAAAATTTTTTGTCTATTTACCACAATAAAACATTTTTTTAGTTTCAACAGATTAAGGTACTATTACTGCTACATGCGAGTATAGCCATAAATTATTTTTAATCGTGAAATAATATTCTCCAAATTTTTTATACGAAGCCTTTCAGGGTGGATAAATTTATGAAAATACCTATAATAATAATTGTGTTTGTTCAAATAGTGTGGGAGCACATTTATATTATATAAAGTCTGATGTTATTATAATGACAAATCCCGCATATATGTATTTAAAAGTCATAAATAATAAATATTGAATACTATTAATTAGTTTATCACCCACAGCGTGAACTGTTGCAAAGCTTCCAATAACTTTCCTTGAGCAATACATCAAAATAAAATAATTATATTTGTTCAAATGGCGTGGAAACGCACTCGTGTATAATGTGCTGTTCACAATAGGTAGTCCACAATTTATGTGTTTAATACGGAATATATAAATCGAAATTGCGTGAAAACATCATCAGTTATATCAAGTGTATCGTACTATACAAATAACAACGGCTAACAACTATTATTTACAAGAGTACAAGATTACTTTTTGCAAGATCTACTACGAAAATAGATCTAAGTCATTTGACATTTGTTCAATCGCTATAAGCCTATTCAAATATTTAACGACGAGCGCGTAGAAAGCATTACCTACAGTAATGTATTTGAATTGTATTATTTTTTACTCATACTATGTTATTTTATAATTGCTTTAAAGTTTATCAAACGGAGCAGTTTCACCATCGGGACAGCCACCACCAGTATCAAATTGAAGAAATAACTCGTGTATTACGATTTTAGTGAATTAATGAACAATTAGTAAACAAACGAAATGAAACGGCGAAAATACAATCAAACAATAATAATCAATTTAATAAAAGTAAAATAAAATAGAATTCTCGGCCAACTTCTTTTCCTACTACTAAATAATATTTTTGTGTCCAAATATATCCGTAGGACTGTGATTAATAACTTCAAAACCTTTTCAAAATCGATTACTATTAATAAGATGTTATGTGTTTATTTCGCTTATATTGGAAATTGTATTTTTCACTGTTTCGTATAGTATTGTAATAATATGTCATAGCGGTTTTTTTTTTTTTAATCTACTTTTATTCTTGATTCTCATGGTTATTTGGTGCCATACATACAAAAAATCCAAATATTTTGAGTGTTAAACAACTCATAAAATTGTGTTAAAATCTCCTGAAAAATATAATTTGATTTGCTGTAAAAGTGTATCGTACTGTAATGATATGCTCACACAACATTGTCAATCAATGTATATTTTAATCGAGTTTTCACTACCGTCCAACGATTTCAAGAGGACAGTTATATAGTTTATTTTGTTTTAACCACAAAGTACGGTCTATAATGAACCTCCTGTTAAATTTTAAAATACGGTAATTAGATGTAGGTGATTATATAGGTACAATATGTTAGCACAAATAAATATTTGAAAGGCAGAGTTAGTTTAAGATAGCAAATTAATAATTAAAATTATACATATAATATAGTTAACTAGTGCAGTAAAACTTCCGTTTACGATCAACTCTAAAAAACTGTTACCTCTGAATAACGGTGTATTATATATCGCCTTCCCATGTTGAAACTGTTTAGATGTTAAGAATTCTAACAGTGACATACAGTACCTAAATTAATAGAGATCTTGGTATTATCATTATCTAGGTTTTAGTGCTCACTTAGATACGGTGCTGAACAGAGCACTCAAAGTTCTGAGATTCATCATACGCAAAGCTAAATTATTTAAGTCTGTTAGTTGCCTTTGTACTTTATATTATGCCCTTGTTTGTACTCTACTTTAATATGGTTACGTGGTTTGGCAACTGCATTTAGTCAAAGACTAGTAAAAAACGTTTCAAACACGTCCAAAATAAATGTTTAAATTTGATTACCTTCAAAATAAATATTTACCACGAAACTCATGTTTACTCCAACATAAGACAAGTTTCAAACATACCTACACTTGCTTCTCGTCGCAATAAAGCAGACTTAGATTTCTTATATTCCGTTCTAAATGGTTCTCTGGACGTTCCTGAACTCCTTGCCGCTATTTCGTTTAGAATTTCTTCTCATTCTTCCAGAAACTAATGCCCATTTTATGTTCCAATTCACAAGACTTTTTATGGGCACGACCATACTCTGCATCACATACTCAGAGCTGCAAATAACAATCAGTCTTTAGGACACTATTTTATTTTTATTTAAATACATTAAAACTTCCATACAACGGTCACTGAAAGGATGTTAAATAATGACCGCTATTTAGAGGTGACCGTTCTTTAGAGGTTTCCTATAGAGGCATAACACTTGTGACGGAACCAAAAAAAATGATCGTTACACAGAGGTGACCATTAACGGAAGTTTTACTGTACTAGTTAACTATATTATACGTATATTTTTTAATTATTAATTTTCTATCCTAAACTAATTCTGTCTTTTACTTAAGTTGATTTGTCTGTGCATATAGGTAGCAGTAGCATATATAGGGGAGGGTTTTGGAGGTTCAAAGCCCCCTCCGAAATTTATGGTTGGTACGGCACACGTATGTATTTATAAATCTTTTTGATCGATGTATTAACTAAAATCCAAAAGCTTTTTTTATAACCCCCACCTTCAAATTAATTTCTATTTACGCCACTATTTGGTAGTATAATATTATAATCTAAGTGTATTTGACAATGTGTGAATTTATTATACAGCCATATAGGTGTATTAAATTCACTAAAAATGTTCATGACGTGCACATGGACTTTATGGACAGTACAAAAATTGCATATAGAAATAATAATCTAATGATCTATTATTTTTGTAACAAACATTTCAAGTGATTTTATGATGCAGAATTTATTAAATTTTTTTAATATACAATAACTTTATATATTGTAATTTGGCGTTTACTGCTGGTCTCTTCAGATTTCGTGGGGGGAGGGCAGTTTAAGTATTGCGTTGTCTTATTTCAGCCTACAAGGCTTTTTGGAAGTTTGGGACTAAGCATGGAAATTATTTTAAACAATTAATTAATACAAATTACCATGTAAGTATTTCATATAAAAACTTAAAAAGTGTAATTTGACTAAAAATAAACGCAGAGTTTAGAATATAAAAATTGTATAATTCGAGACGAAATCCGAAAAAAAAGAACTTAAAACGGCGTTATGTTTAGATAAAAATAAATGCACGGTCGAGTAGGAGGACAAATATTTACATAATATAAATATTACTTAAGTATTTTAAAATTAATTTTTGTTTGTGAACTTAACTCACATAATTTACTTTAAACCAAGTTATTATTTTCTCCAAATAACTTCTATCCAACTTAACTATAAATTGTAAATTTTAAAATGTACTTTTTATTTATCATAATTAACTTAAATTTAATAATTCGACAATTTGAACGACTAGAACAATTAGCTCTGTTGCCTAGCTTCGATAATAATCGTTATGTACAGTTGGCCGGTAACAAATCGGTCGACCGGAGCAGCTGCCACGCGGTCTAGCGGACCAAAGCTCATCTATTCGCGGTTGCCTGGTGACGGACACACAAAAACAACGGTGTCGCGATTCTGAGACAACAGCTGCAGCTGGGAGCCCGTTTCGATAGTCGTCCATGAGAAAAGCTCATGGAAAATCCGATCCGTTTGCGCAAGGAACTTAATCAAATTACGTCGAGTTGAGTGATTATAATATAAGGTACCTATTATTCAGGCACCTACGCGGACGACTGTACCCGTTTGTAGTTGTCCGTAAGACTGTCCGCCGCAGTGTAGTGGTGCTGATGTTGGTGGTGGTCTCCGGTCCATATTAATCATGGGTTCCGCCGATTTTTCGAGCCTCGAAAACGAACTGATCGACAACGTGGAAAAAGACGTACGGTATTGGCAACAGAACGATGCCAAGCTCAGGGCCGTGAAGAGCGTGTCCACGTACCAAGAGTTTAGGTAAGCAGCTGCATACGATTCTGTCGGTCGGTTTTTACCTATACAATCATTTACCCGCCCGGGTTTACAGCGATATCGTCAAGGCGGCACACCTGCGCCCGTTGACCAAGAAAGAAATCGAGGCGAAGGGCCAAGGACCGTCCGCATCGACGTGGAACAACATAACTCGCGGCACGGTGCAAGACACGTGCGGCGGTAAACAGAGTGCGGCAGATTTTGTGAGTATGCAAACGTAATCGTTATATGTAAACCGATATTGTTGTAAACACAATAACGCAGGGTAAGTTTTTGAGACGTGGCAAAAAGTATTGAGACTTGACGAGAGATTCGTGTCAGTAGAGCTTTTAGCGGTGAGAAGTACCTAACCGACTAGGCGGGGACGAATATTAAAAACGATTATTGGTAAACAGAATATTTGACGTGAAACCTACCTACCTACTAAAACATCAAATGCAGAAACTTATGGAAAAAAGTTCGATATTTAGAGACATATCTAATATAACCGAGCGTTTTAATAACACGAAAATCGTCATGTTGTTTTGTAAAATGCATCAGACATGTGTACAGTTTGAATGAAATAATATTACATATTCGTCTAATTTCATGTTTAAAATATGAGTACTAACATTTTTAATATTTTTTCACCATTCCAAAACAATAAACTGTTGTTAAAATTAATGTTGAATCCACCCAATCTCCTTTATTTATATACCAAACTAATCAATAATTATCTCTAATAGTGAATAAATATATTCAATAGTAGATATTAAATAGCAATTTAAATTTTAAATTTTCAAAAAATAAAACTTTATCTTATAATTAGTTAATTATTTAACTTGACTATTTACATAGTTTGGTTTTCATTGTATAAACTTAAAATTTCATCAAACTAGACAACATTTACTACCAGAAACTATCCATGAAGTTGATGATCAGAGTAAGATTACAGGTACAAAAAAATAAAGCATCAAGTCTAATAGTCCTACTTATACATTCCTCGCTATGCTTAGAAATTAAAATTATGTGTGTCATAATATGTAACAATAATTTCCATTTAAACTTCTAATCATCCATTATAATGAATTGAATTAATTTTCTTTAGGATTTTTTAAATTTTAATTAACATAAATATTGTTAAATTGTTTTCATTAATCATACCTATTTGCTTTTGGCAACAGGTTGCAGCCGATGTGGATAGCGTTAAGGACCATAACATACCAGGTCCATGCTCACCAAAAGTGCAAGAGTTCATCAACAGTTTCCGCCGTCTGGTCAATGCTAAACACAGGTACAAGTATTTGAGCCTGCACGGAGCCGAACACGTACCCAGTACTTTTCAAAATGAAGAGATACCTCCATCCGTACTTGTTGAACTTCTGGAAACTCTGCTCATATTCCCGTCAAACAGTGTCTCTGATATTGTTTCTGTTACCAGGCTTTTGGACGTAATTACCAGCACGAAAAGGTTGGTTTCAAGGTTTCAAATGTATAAACAAAACACAACCAAGTTCATAATATTTTTTGTTTGAATTGGGTTCGATGAATTAAAATTGTAGTTGTCAATTTTTTGTTTCAATATTTTAACACTGGAAATATAGGCAAATAGTTTTTAATTATAACATATACTTACTTAAATAATAATAAATACTTCGAGTTTGTTAGCTCATTAATAGTAAGCTTGAAAGTTAATATTATTTTTTTTACTGAAAAAAAAAAAAAATAAAAAAATTAGCGGGTCTATAAAAAGAATTAATATTTTTTTTAAAATTAACATCAGTCAATAGTATTATTATAATCTTTAATATTTTAATTTAATAAAACCATAGTAAAGTCTTAAGATAAAATTAATTTAAATATGTATTACCGTTTATAGGTTCGAATTGGCCATCGAATTTCTCAGTTCAACCGAATTGGACACATTGTGCAACTTGTTTGATAAACTGGAAGAGAGTCTCAAGTCGGGTCAACAAGATTTGGCTGAACAGGGGGTGACCGAATGGAGTTTAAGTACTCTGAGAAGAAAATATAATGTCTAAAAGTGAATAATGTCTTTGAGTTTTGACCATTCAATTTTAATAGATAAAACATTTGCCACCTACATCCCATCCTTATCTACATATCACACGTTTGTTCCACGTTGTTAAGTATATTATAATATAATAGTGAGTGTTAAATAATGGCTGCTGTGTTCCAATATTCAAAATATTTGTATTATGACGGACTACTCAATTTTCCACAGTGCACCCAAGGTGTGGCAATTTTTTTCTATTTATTTTATAATATTGTGTTTTTATTATAAAAGACTGAATTATTCTCCCAATATTATAATATTATTGGATCTTTGTATTGTTTTTGCTTTATACGTTGACACAAATTATGTGTAATTTTTTTTTTAAGTGTTCATTATTACAAAAATACATTAATATTTAAAATCAATACTCACTGCAATGACTACTGTGTTATATTTATTAGAAGTTTATCTTTTCCTATAATTTTATAATGTTTTCACATGCTATCTTAGTCAACATTAAATTTACCACAGTGTCATAAAATTCATTTTACGATTAGATCATAATTTTATTCTAAACACATTCACGTTATTTAGATTATAAAGGATAATATTAGTTAATGTCACGCATGTGATTTTCCAAAGGTTTGGAATATTTAAGGAAACAGTAAAAGTATATTTTAATCTATGAAGTTTTAATCATTATTATCACTTAGTTAAAAATTCAGATGTTGAAGTCAACTTAAAACTAACACTGTTAAGCTGTTTTTAAAATAAATTATGTTTTAATACTTAGATCACTAAAACATAGACTAGTTTCACTATTAATATAATATGTTGTTGATAGATACAAAATGTTTTACAATAATTCCACTGTGACATACTATTGTTAAACTGAAATTAATTAAATTAATGTTCATCAATGTTTAATTGCAAAATTTTTAGTAACTCAATAATTTCTATATAATTAGATCTGAGTAAAATAACTTTGTAAAGAATATTATTTATGGATAAATTAAGAAATTAAGTCGAGAAATGGTAAATGCTATCCAATAAAAATAATGGCTACAATGTTATTTATAAAGCCATATAATAAAAAAAATATATATATATATATATAATGTTTTAAATTATTATTATAAAACATAACAAATGAGCATAAATAAAGCAATCAAACTTTTATGTACATTAAAAATGGTGTTATGGGAAATTTACTGAGATCATTTCAATTTTATAGATATACAAATGACAAATATGTCAATTTGTATCTGAGTTATATGGAGATGCTGTACTAGCACTGCCGCTTGATGAACTGTCTGCTGGTTTTTGGTCCAATTCTTTTTGTTTTTCTTCTAAAATGCCTGAATAAAGTGCATTGATTAAATTAAAACACTCTGTTTTCTTGAGTAAGTTCCTATAAAAAGTACATACTTTTCTGGAAGTCAGGATATTGTAATTTTATCTTTGCTTTAATTGTAGATATCCTTTTAAACGTACTGTCTAAATCTTTACGTAGTTCGGTCAACATATGAGTGTGTTTCTTTAACTCCTGACTAGCGGTCTTCAAATGGTTCATGGATAAAGCATTAGAATTGGTTAGCATTTCATTGGTTTTCTCGAAACGCTGCAACCTAAAATCATGTATAAATACCTAACTATTATTTGGATAAACAAAATAATCGGAATATTAGGTATACCACTATACTCCCACACAGTAAGATTTGTGAAGTAGGTATGTATTACCTATGGTAAAAAAAACATCATTAACCTTGAGTTATTGGATAGAATCAAACTGACAAAATTATGTAAAAGAAATTAAGTAATATTGTTTGTTAATGTTAGATGATATTATATTATTAAATGTGGTTAAAGTATGGCTTTTAGGTCTGAGAAAAAAAATGTTACATACATTTTTTTGTTTGTATACAATTCTAGAATCAATCAGATTTTCAATTTTAGACTGTAAGAACTCATACATATATATTTCATGATGCAATTAAATATTTGTAGGTAGGTAACTATTATTATTTGTGAAAACACGAATTTTGTTATTTTTTTTTTTATCAATTAGGTACCTATCTATATATGTATGAGTGTAAATGTGAGTGAATTATTGTATACAACATTGCATGGGTTATTCCGGCTATTTTATGTTATTTGGTAGACCAATTTAATGATTGCATTGTGAAAATTACATAAAATGTATAGGTACCTACTATTAAAAATTTGATATTAATTACAAACCAATAAAACAAATATGTTCGCAGTGAAAACTGTTCTTTTCAGGAACAAACCTAATAAAACATTCTTTCTTAAGGCCAGTAAATACATAAATTCCTTAAGAATATAAAGAAAAATCCACGATGTCTGTGAAATCGGTCGGAAAGTAAGAAAATCGAAAATCTGATGGATTAAGGTTTTTCTAGGAAAGTATACAAAGAAAAATATCTATGAGAAGTTTACTTATCGATATTTGACATTATTTTCTCAGACCCAACAGCTATACTTCAACCGACATTATTAATGAACAATTACATTTCTTTTTGAGCGATAATCATGGACTCGACATCTTCTTGGTTTACTATGCCAGCAATGCCCTGTATGAACACCTCAGGTGCAGTATAGTTCTGGAAACACTCAATGCTTGGCGTTTCATCCAAATCACTAGACGTATCTGCCATTGTATTTAAACGAAAATTAATCGAATACGAGCTGTGACAAAACTCGTTTAGAGAAAAACTGTTTGAATAATATAAATGACGAATAAATTTAAAAACTAGAAAAATAAATATTATTTTATTGAATATCAACAACGGAATAAACTGATAGTTCTGAACTCCAAAATAATGCAATTGATAAGGCAAAAGGGAATAGATTTAAAACGCAACCTCTTAGACATATTTATCACATTATTTATTAAATTATCAACTGATAAAACAAGGAGGTTCTTTGTGTTTCTTTTTCCTAGACTTATAGTGTACAAATCCAATTTTTACACTGTACATAAGTTTTTTTTCATTAACTTGAGAAGTTCAACCGGCCATTGATCAAGTAATTCAATAAAATATTAATACCTAAATATAAAATTATTGTTTTTGTTTTTCCATTAGCGTTTCCACTATAATGTCGTTGTCAAAAACGACCAACACGTATAACCGTCAGAATTGGGAAGACTCTGTAAGTATTTGTTTTTGAAAAACATAAAATTATCATTAGGTATATTAATACTTACAATAATACTTGTAATAATACAAATTTATTTTATCGATGACAAATTGATTGCTAATATAGTAGATATGAATAAATTGACTTGCTGGATAGCAATACAATTTTTTAAATTATGTTTTAATATGTTATATATCACCAGAGGATAAATCACTGACAAGTAACGGATATCAGTATACAAATATTTGGTAAACATAGAAATCTTTAAAAATCGTACAGGATATCTTAATAAGATTGGGAAAATCATGGTATTCTTGTATCCAGTGTACACAATATTAATCAATGATTTATCCTCTGCATATTACAGATGTCTGTAACCTAATTATTATGGAATATGCCGAAAAAAATCAATTGTACCCATTTTTTACAATATTTAGTGAAAAAATGTTTTACTATATGTTCTATATAAAAATTAACTTTATTCAATTGATTTTAAGAAAATGTTTGAATTGATAATCATCATGTTGTATAGCTAACCTACATAAGTTTATTACAAACCTATATTTTTATTGTTCATGTACCTATCTATAGTTTTTCTCTTTTTTATTTAATTATAGGACTTTCCAATTGTGTGTGAAACATGTTTAGGAGACAGCCCTTATCTGCGAATGGTTAGTAAAAAATATTTATTACTCAGGAGATTTTTCTACACATGCTTTATTATTTTAGACTAAAGAAAAATATGGTAAAGAGTGTGAAGTGTGTGCGAGACCATTTACCGTGTTCCGTTGGTGTCCAGGCGCTAGAATGCGTTTCAAGAAGACTGAAATTTGTCAAACCTGTGCACGTCTCAGAAACGCATGCCAGACATGCTTGTTAGATCTTGAATATGGATTACCATTACAAGTATGCCGATACTCTATAATGATTAATTTCTACTTACTGCATGATGTGAAATATGTTTAATAATATTTAAATTTACAGGTCCGTGATGCTGCATTAAAAATCAAAGAACAAATTCCAAAGTCTGATGTTAATAAAGAATACTTTGTTCAAAATATGGACTCTGAAGTGAGACTACCCAAATTTATTATTATTAAAGATTAATTAACTATTATGTTTGCTAAAATTGTCTAAATACCTACATTATTTCAGTTGGCTAAAATGGATGAAGCCGGTGGTAAATGTCAAAATGCTAGTGATGTATTGGCTAAAATGGCACGTAAAGCTCCTTATTACGAACGAAACAGGCCACACATCTGTTCTTTCTGGGTGAAAGGCGAATGTCGCAGAGGAGAAGAATGTCCATATCGACATGAAAGACCTACCGATCCAGAAGATCCATTATCAAACCAAAATTTCAAAGACAGGTAATCTATTATGATGAAATAATTTAATGTTTAAACCCTTTAAGGGAAAATTTTAGATTCCGAGCTTAGCGAAGGAGCTATTGGTTTATCCTAGTAAACTTGTTCCAATGCATAAGTGTAGCACGTTTTCTTTTCTGGAAGCCTAAGTTATTTATATTGTATTTTAGAGAGATTATTTTTTGATTATTGACACCATTTTTGTAAACGAAAGCACTTCAATGGGAAAAAATAAAGGAAAACGTATAATTTCATGATTTTATTATTTTATAAAAACACGAATAATGTTTTTTACCAGAAAAAATGATTTAATCGAAAAATCACAAGATACTTTTTTTGATGCCTTTTTGATTTACTTTCTTACAGTATCATCGCCAAAAATTTTCAGCCACTTTTGATCTGTTAAGGAATTAAAATTTTTGGGAGTTATTTTAGCTGCTTTGGTTATAAATACATGTAGAGACTTGAAACTTGGTAATAATACTTATATTGGACTTACCTAGACGTGGTAAAATTTCCAAAATCATTGGACGACTTTTTTTACAATGGTGCTTTATTTTTATTTTTTTCATACTTTAGATCACTTTTATCCTAATAAACTTGCTCCGATGTTTAAGTGTAGCATCTTTTCTGAAAGTGAATTTTATATATTTGGTAAATATAAAACACAGGTCATTTTTTTGATTTTTTAAACAGTATTTAAAATAAAAACGATTAACTGGAAAGAAAAATATGATTTTTTTCACGATTTCATTATTTTAAATAAGTACTTATCACGTTTTCTAGTACAAATATGGCCCCAATTGAAAAATGAGACCTTTTTTGTTGAACTATTAATCTTGTTTTTAATGATGCAGTTTATTTTTTTTTGATTTTCGAATTAGTTTTCATAATAGTCGGTAAAAAACGTTGGAAGGTTATATTATTAATAAAAATTACGGCACTTCAAATTATGTATTACTGAACTGCATTCGGAATTGTCTTTCGTCAGCAATGGTTTATTGTTGCTTACAGATATAAATGAAATAACCTTATGTATCCTACCTTCCCAACTTCTCACCTACAACAATGGCCATACCTGCCCTCAGTATCAGCTCTTTAATAAATTATTTACATTTATTTTTATCTGACTAATTTATATCACTAAATATTCTATTATTTATGTGGGTATTAATCTTACTTTTTGATATTGTAAAATTTTAGGTATTACGGTGTAAACGACCCTGTTGCCGAGAAAATGATGAACCGAGCTAGTGAAATGCCTAAACTGGAAAAACCCGAAGACCAAACAATAACGACACTCTATGTGGGCAACTTGAACGATATAACCACTGAAAAAGATTTGCGGTATGTAAAATCCCTATATAATTAATAATTGAATATATCTAAGGTAATGAAAAATATTTAAATAAAAAATTTTCCTATAGGGATGTATTTTATCAGTATGGTGAAATACGTAATATCACACATGTGGCCCATCAGAATTGTGCGTTCATTCAATTCACGACACGAGCTGCAGCAGAAATTGCTGCCGAAAGTACATACAGTCGCTTAACATTAGGCGGGCAAAAACTTAACGTACGTTGGGGTCACGCTCAGGCGCGCAAAGACAAGGACACCACTAGTGGCCTGACGGCATTGAAAGAGAACAAAATGAAACCTACACCTGGTTTGCCAGCTCCACTGCCACCATTGCCAACAGAATTGCAAAACAATTTTTTCAACATTGCACCGCAGACTATGCCCGTTGTTGCTACTCCTTATATACCTGTGCTGCCAACAATACCGCATCCAAGTATGCCATACATATCAACGCCTCTTTATCCGCCTGGCACTAGCAAATAAAGTTTTCCAATATTAGCATATACATAATATTAAAAAATTTTTTTTGTAACAGTACCCAGACAATAAACAATACAATGATATTGTAATCTACATATTATTTTTTAATCATTAACAATAGTTAACTTAAATTCTGTAACTACAATTACAAATCTTTACCACATTTGGTTATAATTTTTTTATTTCGATCATTAAATAAAATATATTAAAATATTTTTCTTAAATACATTTATGGTAGTTTTTTTTTATTATTGTAAAAAGCTTTTTATTTGGTCTAATTTATTTCCTTTTTTCTGGTCTAAATGACATACATGTATTGTATTTATATTCTAACACATTTTATACTGAAAATTAAAATATCTCAAATTACTATGATATACTTTTTGCTGAGCTAAGACATAAAATTCATTCAAAATTTAATTTGCTTGTATTGAAAACTTTTTTCTTGAGACCTAAGATATTAATAGCTAAGTTTTCATAATTTTCATAAGGTTTGTTTAAAAACCATAAATAACAAATAATAACAATATTATACATAATGTTGACAGATTTTATTAAATTTCATGATGAACTATGATTTATGTACATTTTATTAAAAATTGAAAAAAAAAAAATTCTAACCTTCAATAATAATTATCAAATATATCACATTAAATGAGCATTTTTACACTTAAAATTAAGTAAACGTTATTTATCATTGAAGGTGGAAATAATTTTTTAATTTTTTAATAGTTATTACTCAATGAAAACAATAAATTATGCTCTATGATAAGAAAAAATTTAACTATAAAATAATTGTAAACAAAATTTGATGATAAAACTCACTAAATGTATTTTAGGTAGTGAATGTACCAAGTATTTCAATCATCCATAGTTTCTAGATAACAATGATTTATTAGGTTACAATCTAATTTAAAACAAATAATATTGAATTAACTAAGTAGTATTTTGATTGCATCATCACAACAAAATAAAAAGTTTGTGTGGTATTTCAGAACACTGCTGACATATTTAGAACCTTATAAAAAGTATTACAATTTTAAAATAAGTTAATTGTTAATAATTGTATATTTTTATTTATATAAAACCTTATCGATGGCAAAAAAATATTATTTATAGAAAAATAATTTATAGCAATGTGCATAAAAATGGAATACCTATCATAAGACAAATAAAACACAATTAGGTATATAATAACAAATTAAGAATAAAAGATAACATGAAAAACAGCCAACAACATTTGTGTCGGCTGATGTCAAAACAAAATGTCATTTGTAATGAACACAATATGCAGGAGTGTATTATCGTCAAAAATAATATTGTACTTATAGATTTTGATAATTGAAAAAAAAAAACAAAACTTCCTATACTTAAAAAAAAACAAGACACCAATTATTGCATACTATTAAGCGTATACTGTCATGACACCAAAACAATTAAAAATTTAAATATTCAATTCACTCTTTTGTAGAGCTTGATATTTAAAAAACCCGTCACCGGGCAATGGGGGTAACAAGAAAGACGGAAACCAGACTTTGTATGTAAAAAACCATGTACCCATCGCCACCAGGCCAGCCAACAATTTTTCCGGCATCGTGTGGAAGTACATCATAGTGGTGATGAGCATCAGCTCCCAGACAGCTACAAACAACGTTATGACAATAAAAAACACTTGAGCATATGGAGTAATTCGGCCATAAATAGTTTTCAGAGTCTGCAGTTCATTTTCGTTCAGACTGCTAAACGTGGTGGCTACCCGTCTGCCTTCTGTGCGAGCGTTTTCCTCTTTGCGCAGCACGTCTTGTATCTTGTCCCAGCCTATGATCGGTCTCGCTTCGCTGATCATCACCAAAGTGCTGTATATCAATATGAATACATGGCCGGAGATGTCGAATGACTTCCACACGTTGCCAGCAGACTTGCACGTTGTCCGCGTGTGTCCGACGCCTTTACTGCACTTACCGTAATATTCCTCCAGCCAATTGAAACCAGACGTCCAAAAGTACCAGAAGAACGTGGCCACCGCCAGACGGGACGCGTGCTTTAAGACAGACGGCCTGGAGTCAAGACAAAACACCTTGCTGGTAGCTACCAAAAACAACAGGGTCCATACCAGCGTCCAGAACCAACCCAATTTCACCAGGTACTGGTTGAGGAACGTGTTGCTGTTGGCGAAATAGATTTTCGGGAATTTCGCGAAATCGCCGATCACCGACGCGATCAACAGGATCAGGTACACGAACAGTCGTTTGTTCGTAGAGAAAAACATGTATTTCCGGCACACGAACAGGAACACCGTCAGGAAAATGCTGAACACGGTTGTCGGTTCCCTGACTAACAGCGTACCTTTGGCCTCGGATCGCAGATTCAGACTCGAAGGTATATAATTCGTTTCGACGGATCCCGCCCGGGACGTGTTCCTCTTAGAAGTCATATTAATTTTAATATAATTGTATCGGTTGAACGGTATGGTTCCGCTCGAATTCGAAAATTACATTAATTAATTAATGTGTGTATAAATTATAGTGAAAAAAAAAATGATTATTACCGACGAAACGTCACATCCTTTTTGTGTTTGAATAAAATGTATACGAATAATAGGAATTCACAATTCATTACTCAATTTATTCAACTGCTTATAATATTGTAACTTTCACTATTACGGACGTACAACATACTTCTGAATAATTTAATCAAGTTGTCAAATTCTTATCAGATAGTAGTTTAAACGATAAGATTTTTCGTTCCTTGTTGGAATAAATTTGATAACAATATTTACGCTGTGGTTTTTTTTGCTTTAAGGTGATGTTTTTTCAATCAGCCTAAAAATTAAAATAAAATTTAATTATTCTATTGATTTTTACAGTTCGACGGAATTATTGAACGATATTACGACGGTTTTAGATGATTTTTGTATGCGCGCTCTAGGAGTTAAATACCGAGTTGAGATTTTCATCCTAGCCATAACTCGTAGAACAAAATTTGTTATTGTATAACTGTGTCTAATATCCAATGTCCTAGGTAATAAAATATTCATTAACCTGTATAAAAAAATTATTATTGATATTATTTATTTGATTACATTTACACTTTTGGTACGAATAATCTGTGCGATAAGTAATAATTAAGTAAATAAAATAGGTAATCAATGTGGTCGCAACACACAAGTAAAGTGGGTACTTAGGTATAGGTCTTATATTTTTATTAGGTATCTGTTAGTCATCCGCAGGAAAAATTTATTTTTCTTGGTTTGTCTGATAGCTTTTTTTTTATTAAAAATTTTGATATCTACCGTACGTATTTGATTATTATTGATATTTGTCTTAAATTGGAAACATTTGTTATCAAAACTCCGCACCTCGCTGTAGACAAATTCCAAATAAGTAGATATCTTAAGATATATGTAGGTAAATGTAGGCATTGTAGTATTGTAATATTGTATTTGATTCAGTGGCGTATTTGACTAAAAATATCACTAAAATTATAATACAAGTTACATACACAAGCTTATATTCCATAAGCTATTAATTATTATAGGATATTAATCTTACTATGAAGTGTTTCTACTAGAGATTTTGCTCCGATTTTTAAGTGTAGTATTTTTTGAAAGAAATTCTAACTGGGAAGATACTTTAGAGAAGTCATTTTTCGGTTTTCTCAAGATTTTTCCCAGCAAATGTGAACAATCGGGAAAAACGGTAAAATCGGATCAATATTACACAAATATTATTAAAGAAAATATATGCCTATATAGTTATTTAATATAGTTATTTTACCATAATATGACATATATATTGTTGACGAAGCATCACTATCAATTGAACTCCTCTTAGAATCGTTTTTCGTTAGAAATGGTTTATCGTTGCTTACAGATATATATTAAATTTCTTTTTGTATCTTATCTTTCAAACTTCCCACCTACACCTGTAGTGGCTTCATCCGTCCCATTAGCATAGGACAGCTTTTTATTTTTGTGTCTGATGATACTTTTCTAGCAGAAATAATACTAAATATTCAATTTCAAAGAAGATTTCTGGTAGCAGATTTAATTTTTGTGCATATAGCAAATACCTATACAAATTAATTGTCACCCCCTCCTCAAACACTCTATTGATTTAATTGTGTTTCGAAACGTTGGCACGACAGAGTGATTTTTTTTTATTAAAAACTGACAATTTTGTAAGACACGTGAATAAAACCGGGGTTTTTTCTTTTGCAAAACTATCTGTATTAATTTTCGACTCAATGTTTATAAGGTTTAACAGTTACCGTTTTTTAAATTTTGTTAAAATTATTGGTAAACAAATTATAATTTATGAGCCGTACGATTTTTTAAATTTTTTATTTCAGGCATGAGCAACATTATTTAATTGGTAGAACATGTAATAAATACAATATAGGTACCTATATATATATACATACACGACGAATTGGTATAGCTAGATACGTTTGGTAGTTAAAATCATCATATTATATATACATATATAGGCGCGTAAAATTAAATACCTACGGTTTATTAAATAATAATAATGATTAATAATTATAGTAATAATGTTTGGTTTAGATTAAAATAATTCGTAAATTATTAGATAGGTGTGTACTCGTAAAAACAAGATTCATAACGTCAAATTGTACGCGACTGCAGCCGATCGTATAACATTATAGGTATTCACGCGTCGACCATAAAACTAAATAAAATATACGTTAATAGTTGGTACCCACTTATTATTATCTTATTATAGATGCATAACCATCACTATAATATACACCCACTGTATACGGTCTGATAATCATTAGTCCTTACTATATATATCTAAGTGTACACCTTCTACCCTAGTTTTAATGAGCGAATGTAAGTACCTACACGAGACGCAGCGAGTAAAAAAAAAAAATGCATATGTTAATTCCCACGCGTTAGTAAAAGGTACGTATTAATGTTAAAGTTCCTACATCGCGTAATGCATTTCATAAATAGATATAGGCAATGATAATACAAAATAATGATATATAATATATATATATATGGGTACTTACGATTTTACTAGAGATTTTATAAGTATTTTAGGTACATACCTATAATTATTCCTGTTTTTTTGTCATAATATCGTACTGTTTTATTACCTCTACCATTAAATCAGTAAACATGCGCAGTAATCAATAGGAATCTAAACATAATTTTATTTTACTACGATAATTATTTTGCGTAGCCACCTATACTTATTGGAAAATCGTGAACGAATAGAACAGATTATACGGTATATAATACACATATAGCTAAGTGTCTAATAAAACAAAATAAAAATAAAATAATTGGCGGTCACCAGTCACACGGAACACTTAATGTAATTTCCCACCGGTATTAATGTATTATATCTTATGGTATCAACGTCTAGAGTCATTTATAAATAGGTATCTACCCACTTTAATGAATGGGCGTTACATGCAGTACTGCAGGTTCACGGTCGTTGAAAAGACACAAGCAAAAGCGTCTCGGGCGGATAAATTTCGATTCTTTTTTTTTTATGCATGCAGCAATGGCCGAAGGTTTTTCTTATTGACATTTATTATCCGCCTACTTAGACGCTAAGTTAACTACCTATTATTTAATTTTGATTTATTTATTTAGTTAACCTGTAATAATTCGAACGCGACGCGTAAACTTCTGCAGGGTCTTTTAAATATCTCTTTGTTTATCGTCACGATAAACGAGATGTAAGTCATTTTTCTCAATTTATTGTTTCGCGGGCGAATAATATTAAACGTTTGAAAAATGTCTTACGCCATCATTCTAGACCAATATTTGATTAGTCTCCTAGACCCATAATGCAATTGCATGACCTGCTCCGGTGGTGGATCATAAATTATTGGGTGGGATAAGGGGCTGTAGAGGAGTTTAAAGTTATAAAGTACTCACCCCTCCTAAAAAAAAAAATATGAAATTTTAATTGAAAACTACACTCAATTGTATCACATCATTCCGCCTATAAAACTCATTTCTCGAGTTTGAGTTCCTTTTTTTTTTTAGATTCTGAGCGGAGCGAGGAGTGTATTGGTTTTATAATGATGTTTATTTTTTTTTTCTGTGGACAACTTTTCTACCAGCAATTTTTACCGATTTTCATCAGTAGTTTAACACTTTTTCTGAAAGAAATTCTGATTGGGGCATTACTTACTTTAAGAAGGTCATTTTTAATTTTCTTTACTGTTTTCATAATAATTGGAAGAGACCAGGAAAACCGGGAAAAAACGTAGAAAAAAAGAGAAAATTAATGAAATATATTATTTTTTAAAATCGTTAATATTACGGTTTTTCAAAACAATGCATCAATAACCAAACTCCATTCAGAATCTTTTTTCGTTAGCAAAAGATTAATCATTGCATACAACAGACATACATTAAATTCCTTTTTATATCCTACCGTCCCAACTTCTCATCTACAATAGTGGGCCATCCATCATGCGAAGTATATCCGTATCTTTTTTTCTTTTTTATTGTTGTTTCTTCGAGGTGTTTTACAGGACAATATTTGTTAAACAAATCGTACATAAAATCCGATTCATATTTGATAACTGCAGATACTTAAGTCAAAAATGAAACTTATTTTATTTGTCACTTCTACGCACGGAACCGAAAATTTTAATTTCGGCCATCAAAACGAGTTCGAAAAAATGTTGGTCCGTGCTGGCGAACATCATTCTTGAAATTTTGACAAACTTAACCTCGAGTTCATGAGTTTGGTCGAGTTTGGTTCAGAGAGAGTCACTTAGTGTTCCAAAATAGCGGGAAAAAGATTATATTATATTAATAGTACATAACAGAGACAATACAGTGCAATAGTTTTTATTTTTGGGGAAAATTCGACAAAAATGTACTTGTGTTTTTTAACGTGGTAGTATAAAAATAAAACAATCGTATTAGTAGGTAAAATATTATTTTTAAATAAACGTATAGGTATATAGAATCGTATACCTATCTAATGGGCCATAGAGTTCTGCCGTTTTTTTTTCCACAATTTCAGAAACTCATATCTTACATCATTATCATAAAGGTATAATAATAACGAACGGACGCAGGCAAATATTATTAGGAATACACTTTCACGTCCGTGTTGCAAATAGACGCCTGGTCATTGAATTTTTTGGCAAGACTACATTTTTTTATATACGTATTAATGGACTTTATATATATGTATATAAAAAAAAACGTTAAGACACGTTTTTACACGAGATAGCTTTTCTAGCATTAAATGTTTTTTTTTTTAGTTATTATTATTTTTGAACTATATGATACAGAGTGATCAACATGAAGCGAGCCATTTGAAAAGTATTAACTTTAATTTCAGAATTAATTTCTTAGAACATATTTTATGGAACAAACAGTTCTAAAATATTATACAACCGTTATTTTTTTGTCAACATTTCTGTAAATAAAACCTTCAACATTTTTGATTTTTAAACTAATAATATTCATATTTTCATAATATAGTCTTATTTTGAATTAATGTTAGTGTGGAGATTTTTAATTTTTATTAACCATTGAGGGAACATTCTACTTTTTAGTTTAGGGTAGGGGGAGAATAAATAAATACTATTCACTAGTTTCACCTCACAAATTTTGCTCCATTATTCTCTTACCGACTAACGATAAACTTTAAAGTGGAATAATTCGTCAATCGGTTCATCTACTTGTGTCATTTTAATTATAGGTTGCTATTTGAAAATCAAAAATTATTAGTGGTTTCACTTTCAAAACTAAGGGTGACAGAAATAACAGTAATGTAATATTTTAGAACTGCTCGTTTCTAAAATGTTCTAAAGACCAATCTCGAAAAGAAGTTAACACTTTCCGAGATAATGAGTACCTATTTTATGTTATGTTAATACAGGATAATTCAACATACGATAATGCATAGAAAAATGATAAGCAAATAAATTTTGTTTTAGGTACCTATTCAATGTTTTTAATTTTATTGTTCGTAGCAAGAGTGGGGGGGGGGGGCGTTGTAAATTAGAACATACAATTTATTTTACCATAGTTAAAGAAATAATACTATGGGGAAAACTTGCGGTTTTAAATGTATTTATTTTTTGGCTTTTTTGTCAAATAGATTCGTGTATATTTGCTTATTTTAAAAAAAAATCATTTAAATATATAGTGTACCTATAAACGTTTTAATCACTAATATTTGTATACAAATCAAGTTTTCAAAATAACTAGGTACATTTTTTTTAAATTATGGTAAAATGTTATATTTTTTATTTTTATTCTCTCCCCCTTCCCCTCCCCTCAAAAATAAATATATACAATATACATACGTATATATATATATATATATTAATAATAGGTAACTGATTATTAATGGTTATTTAAAAAATTAAAAATAAATTAAATATCGAATAAAATTAAAATATTTGATTTGTCAAATCATTTTGAACTACTCTGTATATGCGCGCACTACCAATGTACCCGGCCGAGTTCTTATACTGATACACAGGAATTCATCCTGTTGAACGATTTTATGAAACGGTATTTATGTGAATTTATTTAGTGAATTCAACTAAAATAATAAAACATGTTTTTCTAATTTTAATAAAAAAATATTGATTTGATCTCTATTTTTTCTCGAATTTTCACTTATTTAGTACCTACATACCGATATTGTTTTCGTGTAGGCGTAAAATTACATTTTTTCGAATATTACAGGTTATTGTATGCAAATCTAAAATATACCTTATATGTAAGTATTACAAATCTGGTGTTATGAAGTTATAGTAAGAGCAAAATGTCTCGTAGATTTAAGTTTTTTTGAGTACTTGCGTGTTTCAAAAATTCAGAGGTATCATAAGTGCTGAAAATTACAAAAACAATACTTTACTATCCGATTTATTTACAACGCGATCGATCAATGTTGGTAAAATTAATTTTTATAACGTTCGACCTATATTAAAAAAATCTATACGAAGGGAGGAATTTTAGGAGTTATAATCCGTTCCGTTCGCTTAAAAATACAACATGAGCGTTTATTTAGTAATTTTATTGAAATCATATAGTTTAGTCGAATTATTTACTACACCTCCTACTGTTAAAAATTCCTGGACATTTGAACATTGAACATTTCAATATTCATCTTTGACAGGAACTTCTTGTCGTCAACTTCATACACCTAACATTCGAATAATATTTATTCTTGGTCATCAACAGTATAATACACAGTATAGTTGATCGGTAAATTCGATCGTCAATATGATATACCTCGTTGCCGCAGGGAGCAGCGCGTCTTGTCGGATGACTACTGCCCGGGTCATCTCCTCCTCCATCGTACAGGTAATAAATAACGATAATTTAATACCTATAAATTACTATAATCATAACTTCCTACGGGATTCCGCGGTACAAATAACATTGCAAATATAAACGATTAAAACGATATTATAGTTTCATACAACGTGCGCCGAGTTAATAGTATAAACTGATGACGAGTTAATTTCGGAACCGAGAATATTATTAATTATGGAAATATTATTAAAAATAATGACGGCGTGATGATGCGGTCGTTTCATCATTTACATCATTACACGGATAAAAGGTATGAATTATAATAGAGTTTCCTGTTTTCCCGTGACGCGCGTTTGATTTGTTTATATATGTAAATTATAGCGGCATATTACATACAAATAAATATCAAGTAAATTGTACATGAGGTAATTAATAAATGAAAAATAAACGCAGAGTTTAGCATCAAGATTTTTTCATATTATTGTTATTTTTTTTTTTGGCACAATATACTTGGGAACAAAAAATTCTACATACTATATATTAAGACTTAAAACGTATAGATAATAAAATAATATAATACAAAGATTAAACCTATATAGATAATTTATGATATTATTATTATTTACATTACACAACACTATCATAATATAAAATATTATAACTATCTACAGATAGAGAAACATCATATCATCATATAAAAATATTATGACAATATTATCGTAATATATGTAAATATTATGATTATAGCTAAAAACTCGGGATCATCCGACATAATAATCATTAACAATATACTATGCGAATGTGAAAGTTTCGGATATTGTATAACGAAAAAATAGACAGATAAAATATTGTATTATTATGTATTATATAGGTACCTGCATACTACCTACAGAGAACCTATACGTATAATATATTGTAATAAAAGAGTGGCCAACCGTATACGTACGTACACCGGAACCGTTTTCTACTGGTTATCTACCTGTATCATAGGCGACGCCATTTTGCAACATTTTTAAAATGCTCTAACTTGTGTAAGTTAATATTATAACGCAATCGCAAAATGGCGCGTCCCGTGAAACGCCTATAACAGCGGGTTTTTCACTCTTTTATTATAATAATATGGGCTATCATCTCTATAGTAATAAAATGATACCGTAGACTTTCACAGTCTCTGTATAATAATATTACACCTATATATTATCGTATCGTTTTACCTACACGGTTTTATGCGAAACAAAACAATGCGCAATAATATTAATTCAACCGAAATTGAAAAACTCCGTAGAGATAAGTATATATATATATATAAAAAAAAAAAAAAAAATAATAATAATAAAGATACCTATATAAAATAATAATTTAACGCCCGATGATTAACCGGAGAGTCTCCTCCGGAGCGCGAAATACGTAAGAAATCGGAAAAACACGAGCATGCCGACCAACTTGATGATCTCGACGTATGGATGTTTTCGGTGCAGGTTCAGGTAATAAATAATTATGTTCGGATCTTTAAAGTGACAGTAGCTGATGCCACAGTGCAGCGATTTCCTGCCCATCCCGAACACGGTGATCACTAGCCCGATGACCCCGCACCGCAAGAAACTTCCCTCCATGATCACTTCCATGATATGCGGCACCTGGTACGCGAAATCGAACCCGTAGATGGCCAAGCCCAGGAACGGCGTTATTAACATTGGACCAACCGCACTACCGTTCTGTAAAACGACCACGGAGATTATTATTTGCACATGTTTCAGAAAACAAACGACCAGAAAGTGTCCAATTTAGAATCCAAAAAATAAAATTGCTAAATGCCCTTTATTACAGAAAAGTGGTTTTCCTATTTCGGGAAGTGATATTTAATTAGTAAAGCTGGAGTCAGTTCTTCCCCCGGGACGCTCGGATAAGGAGAAACGTGTTTAGAATATAACCCCAAACATGCCAATATTGCTTCGTTTAGGCACTTCGGCCATATCCCATTCGTTCATTCATGTCAGAACTTTAACAAAATAACCATCGATTTGATATGCAAAACCACGTCGGGTGGATTAGAGCAAATAGTTGTAAGTGCTTTCACTCTACCGAACACTGAATTTTGATGAACGTAATTTTGATAAATCGGGAAACATAATATTCGTATAACTTTCTGGAGTACTATGTTCAGTAAAATTACTTCTGGAAATTTATTTCTGTTTATTTTGCTTTCTGGATTCCAAACGTTCTGCCTAATAGTTTTCTGGAATATAACGGATGTTATAACAAATATTTTGTTTATTAATCAAACTTATAATAACGATAATGGCGTTAAACGATATAGTTAGTATTTGTATCTTATAATAGAAGAAAAATTCGTTATAAAAAACGTCTTTAATATAAATAAGCATAATATAATAGCATTTATGAATAAATAATATTTAAAAAAAGAAGTTTTAGGTTAATAAGGACGGGTGCAGCCACTGTTATAGATAATTTAATATATATCTGTAGGTTGTAAGCAACGATAAAGCATTATTTATGAAAAAAAAGTTCTGAGAGGAGTTCAGATGATAGTGATGCTTTGTCAACAATATATATGCCATACAGTAAAATAATTAAATAGGTTCCATATATTTTTTTTAATAATATTTGTTTAATGTTGTATCGATTTCTACGTTTTTCCGGTTTTCCCGTGTTTTTCCCCAGTTTTTTACATATCCTGAAAAAACTCCAGAGAAAATCAAAAAATAACCGCTCTAAAATACCTTCCCAGTGAAATTTTCTTTCAGAAAAATTGCTATGGTAAAATGTTAAAGCAAAATTGCTGGTAGAAGAGTTTTCACAGAAAAAAAAATCGTAATATTATACAAATATATTTCGTGCATTTTCCCGTTTTTTTTTTTTTTTGATTTTTTGCATTTGATAATAAAACGTATGAGAAAAATATTTCCCTACAGTACCCTCCTTCCCACACCAATTTCCTTTAAGAAAAGGTGCTACATGTGAAAATCGGAGCAAGTCCTCTGGTAGAAAAGTTGTCCGCAGAAAAAAAAATAAACAACTTTGTAAAGTCATAAGCTTCTTCACTCCACTCAGAATCTGTAATAGCATAAAAACGGTGGTTTCGAAAAGGTGTAAAATACTCTTACTGTTTGGTTTTTCAAAACAACAATTGTATTATTTAAATCAACTTGTTCGTCAGGTGTTTTTTGAACGTTATAAAAGAAATCTTACGTGAACAATATAGAATGCTACAAAGTTAGATTAAGTTAGATTCCCTTTATATGTATTATAGGTAGGTGTGCGGTTATTTAATTCATATAAAAAGAATAGTTATTATTACCGTGACATTGAATATGGATCCGACCAACAGTCCCATGCCCTCGGAGACGAAACATACGAGTAAACAAATGATGTTGAACAATGCAAACCGCTCGAATTCGTTGGGCAGTCCGGACATCCAGTATACGAGAGAAGTATAAATACTGCTGAAAAACACCTGAAAACAAAAAAAAATTTAAAAAAATTGAACGTATAATTTTATTGTTATTAATTATGAATTATGATGTTTTATAATGCAAGGTGGGATGTTGATAAAATTACAAGTCTATAGGAATTCTAGCGATTCTCGATTTTTTAACGACCCTTAAGTTTCTGTAATCTATAAATCACCCTCTCGTGTGTACATAATGGTGATCAAAATGTCAGCATTTTTTTAAAAATAAATATGCAGAATATATCTACGTATAGGTAATACTTATTATTAAATATGTTTTGGTAATGCAGAAACCAAAGCAAAACTCTTTATAGACTAACAGCGATGTAACAAATTTCCATTAATTAACAACTTTCTGTAAAACTCTATAATACACAATATCTGATAACTTACGATAGACGGTACCCTTGATAACTGAAATGCTAAGTAATAAGGCCTTAAGCTGTACCATCTGTTGAAGTATTCTTGTTTCAGTAGTTTCACTTCATATGGAACTGCAATTAGACGGAAATCAAACATAAACATAATTTTTAAATCAATTCAAAATATATACAGGATACATGTATGTCTAAAACGTACAGGCGAGCACTTGGACCATCGACTGCGTGAAGGTGTGGAAAAGGATGTTGCCCATGCAGAATTTCATATGGTTGAAGAACTGTGCACCATCGTTAGACTTATCAAAAAACACGATGCCCACCGCCAGACCACAAATCAAATGGTGATAAAACTGTATGTTCAGACCGATCTGTTCAATTAAAAAATAAAAAAAATAATGAATAGGTATCATTTTAAATATGCGAATTATAGGTCTGGAACCGGGAACATTATCCGGAAACTGGAGTGCAATTTTTACCTTGTTCCGGTACATTTGCAAAATCATACGTTTCCAGAGGGTGCAAAACTGCGACCAACCCGAAGTCGGAAAGTCCACGCACCACGTGTCACGGTCTTTAACCATGTCATCGTCGTCGTCATCCTTATACTTGATCGGAGGCAAAGGTAACATTTTGTTGGCGGACACGTTACCGTTGAGCTCCGGTAATAGTACTTCGCCTGTACACATGCACAAACCAATGCATAATGTATTTATAACAAACATCACGGAGAGTGGTCAAACTAGTGGGGTTTTAACTTTTAAGTAAGTAAGAAGTATGAAACTTTTTTCAAAATTGACAAGAGAAATATTTATAAAATTAATATTTGTTTGATTAAAGTGAACGAGTTAAGTTTTCCCGTAGCCGTATTTATTACTGTAATTAGGATTGTTACCGTTGAGGGACATCTTTTTTTTCAAATAATAGTCGTTGGCTTTGCGCATTTTGTACAGGGACAGCTTGCCGTTTTTCGTGGCCGCGGAAAGTTTAGTGATGTTGTCCATTTCCTCGCCGTCGGTGGCCTCGATTATATAATCGGCAGGGTTATACGTGAGCGGACAGTGGAGCCCGACGGTGGACAGGAACGGCACCATCTGGTCGGTGGATCCCTGGTACACGCAGTAGCCATTGGACAGCACATATACGTGATCGAACAGCTGGAATAAGGAGGCGCTCGGCTGGTGTATGGTGCACACGATGGTCCGACCCTGGTGCGCAAGCCCCCGCAACAGTTGCAAGCAGTACGCACTGGAAACGTTATCTAGCCCGCTGCGGAAATAATTTTATTTTAATATTACAATAAATGTTGTTGCGTCATTATAAACTCTATGTAGATGTAGCGGGATTAGGTAGACAAATATTAAGTGGTAAGCTTAAAATTTAAACGAATTAAAAAAAAAAAACAAGTGAAATACAGAAAGACAAAGAGTGAAATAACAGCAATAAACAAACGAGAATATAGGAGGTCGTCATTGGATTGGTTAGCTGAAGTTCTAGAAAGTGGAGTGTAGAGAAATTTATTATGACAATGAGTTTTAAATTTTTTTGAATGAGATTTTGAAATTGTGAACGATATAAGAGAAACGAAGAATACATCAACGGACCCAGAAATCGCATAGAAAAGACAATAAGATAAATGCTATGGGAAATCATTAATAAGTAGTAGCTGTGCGTATATTGTATATTAGCAGATAAATGTGTTTTTTCAAAACCGATATTTCACTCAATATTTTCGGGGGAAAAATGTCTTTAATATTTTTAGAATATGAACAAATATCGGATTTTCAACGGATAGGTATAATGGTTTGTTTCAATATCAACGTATGGTAATCGATTTAAAATATTAGATCGGATAATGGATATAAATAGCAATATCAAAAAAAGTAATATCGACTCAACACTTATTAGAACTGATTGTGAAAACCAGTCGAAATTTAAAAAAGTAAAAACAATAATATAAAACCGAAACCGCTATTGCGTAAATTGTTCCATTTTTCTCTAATTCATAAAAAAAAAATTACAAGAAAAAACCATAATTCCTTTCCACATTGCACCAATTAAATAAAATTTGTTACCAGAAATTCACTTCAGGGGTGATATTGATGATCGGAGCAAGATTTCTTGTAGAAAAGTTGTTTACACACAGACAAAAAAATAGAAATTATAATAAATATTACATTTCACGCTTCGATCACTATCTAAAATAATAATAGTGTATAATAAAATACTAAATCTGTGAATATTACCCAAGTATATAGGTGTAATCGTATAAAATAACTCTTATTTTTTTTTTTTTTGGTCACAATTACATATACTTTATTACTCAGGTATTACCTATTATTTATTGATTTTGTACTATAAAAAAAAATAATATAGTTGAATTAAATGCGATTAATGAAGTAGTAAATATTTATTTTTATAGTATTATTACGAGTAGGTATTGGATTATTGTTTTATACTTGTATAAATAATGATAAAATAAAGAATATAAGTATAAACATTTTCACTATCTATTCGTTATGAATATAATTGTCATGGTAATGAAGTTGCTGACAGCCTAGCCAAATCAATATCTAACTTAATTTTATTTTTTCTTGCTCAATTACCTAGGGTAGATTTTACTCCAATCTTACGTCATATAACCAACCTCTGGTCCAACCAGTTCTTAATATCCAAAATTACAAAAAAAAAAAACCTGGTTGAATAATTTAAATTTATTTAGATCTCTAACGGCCAATCAATCAACTTCGCTTTGGGCCATTATCTAATATCGAATCATGCCTACAAATTTTAGCAACTTCCTTAACATTCCGAAACGTTCAGTGATCACATTTTCCACCTGAAATTTCGTGTCACCTTTTCCTACTTAATGACGATCTCATACAATTCGAGGGCAACTACATTTGAGACATAGATTCACATTCAACAAAAATCTTTGTACTTTGTTGTATATTGAAGCGGCCTGCTGAAGATCGCTTAAGCTACTAAATTTCATTATTCGTAGCACCTTTGACTTTCACCTCTTTATTCTTTTACACCTTCTTCAACTGTTTACTTATTCGTTCCACCCTAGTGTATCCTCTGAAACTCAAACACATTAGTGATTTTGATATCTAACAGAATCATACATATGTTTATAAAAAAATATAATATATACACGAAAACGTTTTACGTTAAACAAGTTTCTCGTAATCATACATTTTTAAATACGTTCGTTTTAAATTGATCTATGCAAGTCCGTAAAAATATTTTAAATAGTTTCTATTTTAATTTTTAATGAATTTGATGTTACGTCATCCAAGAATAAGTGATCATGAACTTCAATCTTCGATTCTGACCTAGGTAAATAGTATAGTTATAAATTATAATATCGGCTGTCTGCGGAGAAATATTAACCTCGGCATAAACGTGTCCGTGGGTCATTCTCGTTTGGTAATAATAATACCGTCAATTAATAACATTCCAAATAGCGAATTGTATTGGTAATAATCCAGTGGCGTACCTAGGCCTTTCTTATGGGGGGAATACAAATTTATTTTTCTCAGTTCTTCAAATAGAAAATTCCTTAAAAAAGTAACGTCAAAGCCTCAACAATTTTCCTTATAGACACGGGAATTAGGCTCTTTTGTATTTGTAAAATAAAACATATAAAATAAGACCTTTATAATAATTGTAATATTTACGAAATTAGGAAGGTAGGATATATTATAAGATTATTTGATTTATATCAGTTCCCAACAATAAACCATTACTTTAAAAAATACGATTAATAACGAAGTCTGGTTACAAAATATTTTGAAATCTGTACGGTTTTCGTCAAAAATTCAACTTGAGAGCTTATAAAGAAACATTACGCTAACATTTTTTTATCATCCGATATAACGTAATGAAATTAGTTTTTAAACAATTTTTAAACATTCCTTATTGACCAAAAAAATTTTGTCTACATAAAACCAAATAAAAACTAAAAAATGTTAAATTCTTATAAATAGCTCAAAAATTGCCAAAATATTTTGAAAATTATACACGTTTAAAACGGTAATGTAAGACAAACTGAAAAAAAGACCTCTCTCTTATTTTAAAAAAATTTGCTACTCTTGGCATAACACTTTAAGTAAAATTTCTGCTAGAAAACAAGTAAAAAAAAAAAAAATATTAAAATAATGATATCGTTAACGCCGTAAATATTTTTCCAATTTCGGATTTTCCTAAACATTTTCCCTATTTATCATGAAAACCACTTGGAAAATCATAAATTGACCTCCTCAAAGTACCTAGTAGATTAAAAATAAAAAAACAAGTCTCTTTTAGTTTTTTGTTAAGAGCAAGATTTCTGATAGAAGTTATTTACAGACAGACAAAAAATTAACACAAACCGTAGTAGTAAAATCAATTTGTACATTTCTTACTCCGTTCAGAATCTAAAAATTGATATTTTTGCGGATCGTTCCTGAGAATGGCGTAGTGAATTCGTGAAATCAAGAACTCGTGAATTCCTATATAAACCAAACCTTTTTGGGTCTTGTACATTTTCGCTGTACATTCCGTAAAGAGAACGTCGACTGTTTTTAATTAATCCGAATGCGGCAATATTACACTCGTACATATAAGTACCATCGATAATATTGATGCCATTTAAATGCATTTAATAAGATATATGCAGATTTTGACAAGCTAGAATAATATAATATTATACATATATTAAATAGAATACAATTTATAATTAATCGGTTCTATTCGCGACCTTATTTCAGCCGACAACTATTTTAGATAGCGTAAAACAATTGCAACATGTGTAATATATTATTCGATATGACGCGTGGATACGTTTTGGCCTCATTCGATTATCCACAGGTATACAGTTAAGTTAAGTCAGGTTATAGATTAGATGTAAAATCATCTGCCATGTGGAGATTGAATTAATTATTATACTAGCACTGGTCCGTAGGACTGCAAGAATTCTTATATAATATAGGTATATTATTGGATTAATCAAGAACGAGTTTCAGATACGTCGCGGTGTTGTTTCAGGTTATATGCACATTCGTGGTAGGCAGACGATACGGCGCATAAAGTGTAATAGACAAATAAATTTCTAAAAATCTCTGAGAATTTTGCTCGTGTCTAAGCGCAATTTCGGTAGAAAACCCGTGCAAGGAAATTACCTCAGAGTTTCGAAGTTTTAAAGGCTTAAAAAGTAAAAAATAACTTTTTGATTTATTCCTTTAAAATCCATACAAGTTGGCGGTAGATTTACAACTGATCGTTGAAACAGTGATGTATAACCTAGAGTATAGGCTGATAGAACTATTATACCCATAGATCTTCATTATTAACCATTGAATTGAATTAATTTAAATATCAAAAAACAAATTTTAGACAAGTCATTGACGTTAAAACTGGCAGTATAATTTGTAAAACCAAATTTATACAGAGTTATCTGTCCAATATATCTAGTGTTACAAAAAAAAAAAAAGTTGTTATAGGAGACAGGTGTGCCACTGTTGTAGGTGGAAAGTTGGAAGGTAGGCTACAAAAAATATTTAATTTATATCTGTAAACAACGATAAACCAAATCGTTTTTCGTTAACAATTAACGAAAAGCGATTTGGAGCGAAGTTTCTTTTATACATGTACGTACATTTTCCTGTTTTTCCCGGTTTTAATCTAATTATTATAAAATATACTTGGACCACTAAATACGACTTATAATGAACTTCATATTAAATTTTTAATTATTTCTGTTTAGTCCAACAATTGTATCCACAGTGTACCTATCAAATAAAACTTGTAAAATTTAAATGTCTATAAAGAGCTCAAAAATGTTACCATGTCAAAAAGCAAATACTAGTCATCTGTCAAAATATCAAGTCTCTAAATGTATTTCAATCGCGGCGTACCGTAAATATTTGCCGTTTTTTCCATATTTTTCTATCGGGTATTCTCAATTATTTTGAAAACCCATCGGAAAATCAAAAAATGACCTCCTCAATGCACCAACTAGACTCTAGTTACTAGAGAGAATTACTTTTTATAAGATGTGCTATACTCCGAAACAAGTTTTCTGAAAAGTTTTTCAGATACAGAAAAAAAAATATACAAAAACACACATCATAGTAAAACTAGTAGATCTCTAGCTAGGTTCTAAATCTAAAATGATAATATCAAAAAATGATTGAAATCTTTTATTTAAATAAATTTGTATATATTGTAGTTAATTAAACCGACATAGTATAATATTAATAGAAACACTATTAATATTGGAACAATACCATTATGTATTTATTTATATAAAATAACATAATTATTGATAATTATAATCATGGGTATTATTACGGAGAGAGCGGAGAGGGGAAGTGTTAAGTGGATATATCCTCAACATCGCATTTGTTCAATGCCAATAATGCCAAATAACAAGTATTGTTATATTATTCGTTTTTAATTGATATTTATTTAGTGATATGACGAATAACTGATATTTATAGTGGTAGGTAATTAATAAATACGTTTTGACTCATTATCAATTTCTAAAAAAGGGTTATTTACAACGGTAGTAAGTTTTGCATTTATGATATTATAATTACCTTAAAACAGCAGCACAGAATATTTTTTTCTCCAATATTATTATTAATGTGTTTAAAATATTATGTACCATACACTGGTATGGTCCTACCTAGTACTATATAATCGATCTCGAGAGAAAATTTTAATGCATGAAAACACTGAAAACCTATCTAAAAAATTCAATGACTGAAATAAAGGGTAAATACCCTAATAAATATGATGATGTTACTTTTCTTAATTTTATGAAATGTATGAAACCATCTCAATGGGTTATGATTGTTAACTTCAATAGAAAAGTAAATATTGATACAAAAATAAAGAAAAACGGATTTTATTTCGTAAATGTATAATTTAAAACAAAAATGGTTTGAATGACAGGCATAGTAATAAAAATACGTATAGAAATGTAATGTATATTCTATCGTTATTATGAAGAGAGTGACGTGTGAGGGCGTATTGCATTGCATTGCAAATCGGGCCACCAAGATCAGTTGACTCTTTTTAGATGGGATTCTTATGGGGAGATGATGTTGTGAAGGATTTGAAAAGAGGAAGAGGCAGTTTGTATATCCCCCTTTCCATTCAAATTCCTGAGAATATCACTTATTATAATTGCCTAACCGGTTTTTATAGTGTATGTATATATGTTTATATATTTTTAGATTCTGAGTGTAGCGAAGAATGTATTGGTTTTTTTATTGTACCAGAAAATCTTGCTCAGATTTACACGCGCGGCACAATTTCTGAAAGAAAATGTTGTCCAGTTGATACTTTTAAGAGGTTATTTTTTGATTTTCCAAGCGGTTTTATAATATCTAAGAAAACCGGGATAAAACGTAAGAAAAACGGGAAATTTATAAAAATAATGCATTTATTAATGTTCAATTTTTTGTAATTCAGTTAAAAATATTCGTCTAAATTCTATGGATTTAAAATTTAGACAGAAAACTTAAATTTACCTTTTCTAGACGTGTACAATTTTCAAAAAATTTAAGCCATGTTTGAGGTATTTATAGACATTTTAATTTTGAGAGTTTTGTATGTAATGTTTATTTGGTAGATACTCTGCAGTAAAGTTGTAAGACTTGATCAGATATGCGTGAAAATTTAACAAGAGGTTCATTGAGAGTCTAACGTTGTGGTTAAAAAAATAAATGTATTTTTTTATTTACAATGAAATTTTAATATCAAATTTTGATGAAAATCGTTTAAGTAAAAATTACGTGGAACAAATCTAATTTTTCAATTTTTTTTTTCGAACATGCTATAATTGCCGGTTTAAGAACAATGATGAAGTCAGAATTGAGCTTACTGACTAAGTTTCAAAATTATAGCTTTTTGAAGTTCTAATATTTTGCGGAAATTATATGTTATGTTAAATAACTTTATATTGTCCTTCTTAAGGCATGCTTGCCATTATCTAATAGTTATTTATGCTTATTATCATCCTAGGGGTTCCGAGTTCAAATCATTGTATCGAAAAAAATTGTTTTCATTTTGTTTTCCTTTTATCTAAACAAAGAAAAAACAATGCATTTTGGATGTGCATACCTAGAGTCCCAAGCCATCATTCTCTCGGACTATTTTAATCGTAGAATAACCCTCCATTTGTTGTGCAAACTTTTCTATCAGCAATTTTGCTCAGATTTACAATAATAGTACTTCTTCTAAAAGTAAATCTGACTTGAGAGGTATTTTAGAAGGTATTTTTTCGATTTTCCCAAGAGTTTTCCTAACAAATGTGAAAAGCCGGGAAAATCATGGAAAAACGGTAAAATAAAATATTACACAAATATTATTATAGAAAATGCATAATGCCTATTTAATTAGGTATTTTACCATAATATGACATATATATTGTTGACAAAGCATCAATAGTGATAGTGATAGTCATCAACTGAACTGCGTTCAGAAACGTTTTTTTCGTTAGCAATGATTTATCGTTGCTTACAAATATACATTAAATTACCTAGAACAGTGGGTTCACCCGTCTCCATTATCCTAGGACGTCTCTTTTTGATCTTGTTCGCATAGTAATACATTATTCCGTGTTTTAAAATAAAATATAATAGATAATATACTCGTGATTATCAATAAACGCATTATGCAACTATGTGCATTTGTTTATTTTTAAACCTGAATACAATCAAGGTCGTGCGGTTAGATAATAAGAACAAAACTATTGTATAATATTATATTAAGTATTATTAGGTACGATCTAATAATAATTTATGTAAATGTTTTATAGTTATTTTTTATTAAAGTCTCAGTCATCGTGACGAAATATATTTGATATCAATTTTGAAGAAAATAAAATAGGTAGATACACGATAAGTTTTTGACAGTTTGGTATTTATTTTTAAATATTTTTCGACACTATGTGGCTACTATGATTGCACAATCGATATATAAGCATTATAAGAGCGCATTGAATTATTTATTACAAGTGCAAGGATTATAAATATGCCCAATTTCAAATGATAAAACCATATTGCAATGATCAGATAACATGAAATAGACTTTGCAGACTCGAAAAATCCGTTCGAATAATTCAATAATAATAATACTTTTTTTTCATATATGTTTATAATAGTAATCTTACACAATCTGCTCTTAGTTGTATAGGCGTGAGCTATTTTTTTTTTTTGTAGGAGATGGCGGTATTTTTGAAAATAGTTCAATAGAGTAGTCTATACTGCATAGATTGTAATAGTTATAGAGTATTACTTAAATTAAATATCCGTAACTCTTAATATTACTTATCTAGTATAAATAAGTCTTCTTTAAAGAAAATGAATCATAATTCGCTTTATTAAATTTATGTAAATTCAACTTTAGATACCATCTTATTTTACTCCACTTTCACCACAACTATTTGGGATACCGTCTACATCTAGCATAATAATACATAAAAAAAAAAAATGTCAGCATGATGTGCATGTACAAATATTAAGACAGTTTATTATTTAGGTATGATGAAATACTATATCTACAGATATCATTCTAACTCCTAGTATCGCAAAATACATTTTATTAGAAAAAATAAAAGATATTATTTGTCAAAATGGCTAAAATGAGTTTTAATTTAAACAAGTAACAGCTGTAAAATAAGGAAGCACAGAATTGTATGATAATTTCTTTTACACAGACATATAAAAAGTGTTTATCAATAGATTTAGCTGATTAATAGACAACGGATAATTTTTGATGGTGCTGCTATCTACCGGACAACTTTAAGAACATATTAAACATGATCATGAAGTTTTCAATTAACATATACCACCATGTAAGAGTAGGAATTTTTTTTAAAAAGTGCGGGTATATTTTTTATACCACCATGTTTCAAATGGTTAATCTGGCTTCTCCGGGAATATCATGGTATTTCCCGTGCACACGTTTACGCAATATGTAAGCAAGAATCCGATTTATCATTAACGCAGGGCTATAAGCACGTACCTGGTGGGCTCATCGAGAAATATGATTGGCGGGTTATTGATGAGTTCTAGGGCGATAGACAACCGCTTCTTCTGGCCGCCGGACAAGAATTCAGTTCTCGTGTTTTTGCTCTCCGACAGTCCCAGGACGTTTTGAATTTCTGAAACCTATTTAATACAATATAATACGTCCGTTACTATTCATATTTACTTTTATTAACTTCAATAAACTTTATTACTTCAATTTTATTCTAATTTAGTAATACACATCTGTTATAATACGAGAAACTATCATAATTATACGTTAATAATTTAGAAACTTTAAAAACAATTTTTTTTATAGATAAAGGTGTTTCTTAGAACTTCTGCATATAAAATAGAATTAGAAATTCAAGTTATATGTTTGACTAAGAAATTGTAAGTATTTAGAATATAACTACTCTTAAAAAAAAAAAAAACTAATTTTAATATTCTTATTAAAGTAAAATACACTGTGGTGATGTATAAATTACGACTTCTAGATGGTCCAATAGGTATGGAAATGCGGCGCAACGTAATACTGACTATAATTTATTCATGTTATAACAAAATATCAATTGAAAAGATTTAACCAGGACATCGAAGGAATAAATTGTAATCAAACACATTTTATTGTAATTGAATGTATTCGATGGAAAAAAAAATTGGATGTGCGTTAGCGAATTTATAACCATAATTGTGGTGCAATAATAACCAGTTACCAGTTGTTTTTTTAGTTAAATTGTATAAATTTGTGTGTTTATCCTATTTATGTTTATTCATATTAATTTTATTATTATATAGTTGTTTTATAATTTTATTTTAATAACTAATATTATACTTGCTGTAATTATGTTGAATTGTTTTTAAGCCATACGAATAAATAATAAATAACAATAGCTTGCTTTTTACCATTTACTACCATGAAATATCATATAATATATATATATATATATATAAGTAGATACCACGAGCCCAGGCAGTGGTTATGGGGGTTCAAACCACCCCCAAACTGACTTTCTTAATTTTTTTTTATAAAATAAAATACATAATATATTACATTATATTACACAGTCACGACGAAATATAATTTTGTTCATCAATATTTAACTAAACTATTTATAACTTAGAACGGGTTCAGATAATCGGTCCAATCTAAACGCGATAATAATGCGTTTTTTGTTTAAAAACTTATTTTATTTCAGTGATGCAGTTTAATCGATTGATTATAGATCGTTTGTGTTTATCAGAAACTAACAAAAACGCAGTGTGATTCTACTATCCTAGCTATAGTTATTAGTGTAATAGTGTATACATCGTAAGCAATGTGAAAGTTCTACAGTTCTAAAAAGAAAAAAAATATTCGTACGCGTCGACTGCGTAAAGCTGTATGTCATAACTGTAGCCCAACGGTACGTTAAAAAAAAAAAAAATTGTATTCGTATATATTTCTAGAGCAATATGAAACGAAAGGGTACTACCTTTTATTTCTTAATTAAGGAGAAAAAATCCCAATCCAATACAAAACTAAATGTTCCATTTAGTAGTAATTCTGAATTACCTTCATCGCCAAATTTTGTAAAATCAACTGATCGGCTTTTAATCGGTTGAAAAACGCCAAACAAAAGTTTAATTCTCATCAAAGTAAAATTATCATAAATTATGCAAACAAAAAGCAGATGATTTTCTTTCAGTTATTTAAAAAAAACAAAAAAAACAAATGTATTCCAACAATTAAATTCAGAATATACACAAAAGATAATTCAAAATCGATCTAAGCTATGTTCTATAGCCGTGGTTCTCAACCGGTGTGTCGAATATTACCATGGAGTGTGTCGCTAAAATATTATTAGTTTAAATTTAAATATCGATTTAGTATATATATATAGATATATTATATTATAATATATTACCTATAAATCATAATTATATTATGATTTATAATATTTCATCATTATCATCAAATAGTAAAACCACAGATAACAAACCAATTATGAGGAATTGTACGTTTCCAAAACATATATAACATATATTATTTCGGCATTATGATGAAATAGTAAAAACCACAGATAAGAAAAATAATTGTAACGCGTAGGGACCTACGTAAATAAACATGTCATTGTCCTCAGTACCATAGTGGTATCCACAGTTTTATGTGTGTTATATAGTGTTAGAGCGGTATATTTTCATATTTTTTAGAAATTTCATATTAAAGGAACTACACTAAGTATGGATAAATTTATAATTAAAATTTTTACTTTTTCAAAAATTCATTCTTTTTATTAAGTGTGTCGCCATTTTTATGGATCAAAATTAGGGTGTCGTCATACAAAAAAGGTTGAGAACCATTGTTCTATAGTAAAAACAGTTATTCTATATGGTCGTTTAACTACCAACAAGGGGAAAATTTGATTCAGGTAAAATTATTACTACTAAGGAAAATAAAGCTGAAGGAAAGTTTCGCATTATTATACAGGTTAAATTTACTTATTTTAATGATGTAATTGTGAATTTGATCCTAATTTTTAATTTTTAAAAACCATACTCAAAACAAAAACCTAGATACGTCCTTGCCACGAGTACATATTGTATCTTACAAAATGTAACATTTAATCGATTTGAAATAATATTTTAATATTAGAATTACATGCACCTAAATATTGTTCTCGTGATTTTAAGAAACACCATCAAGGGAAAATTTATAACGAATAAATTATATATTATTATTCATAATTTTTAATTAATTTAAAAACTAAAAATACGTCCTAGGATAATAGAGACGGGTGTAGCCACTGTTGTAGGTAATTTAATGTATACCTATAAGTAACGCTAGGCCATTGCTTACGAAAAAACGATTCTGAGCAGAGTTCAGTCAATAGTGATGGTTTTTCAACAATATATATGTCATATAATAGTAAAATAATTAAATAGGCTCTATATTTTTTCTTTAATAATATATGTTTAATGTTGTACCGATTTCCTCGGTTTTCCTACGTTTTTCCTGGTTTTCCCATGTTTTTTCCCAGTTTTTTACATTTGCTGAAAAACTCCAAAGAAAATCGAAAAACGATTTCTCTAAAGTACCTGCCCAGTGAAATTTCCTTTAAGAAAAATTGCTGGTAAAAAAGTTGTTTGCAAATAAAAAAAACCAGTACACTCCTCGTTTTGTTGAAAAAAAATTGCACATCATAGTTAAATCAATAAATTTCTATGAGTCTAAAAATTATATGCAGATTACGGAAAAAAACCATTACAATATTTATTCGTTATTATTTTTGACTTTATTATCTTTGATAGTGCAGGGATTTGTTATGCAAATTTTTTTTTTATATATTACTACAAATATAAAAAAAACAGCAAATATGATAAGAATAAAGAATATATCTACTCCTTTAAGCCTAGGCTTGTGGCGGAATTGAGAGTTATCAAGCAAAAATTAACTTAAGTAAAAAAAAAAAAATAAAAATAAAATAAAACAAACAAAGAGGAAACATTTTACAATCTGACAAAAGAGAAATAAAGATCAAAAAATAAATAAATACTTAAAACTCAAACTAAAACACTGAATACATTAATAAAAAAAAATATCTTAATTAGGGATTTCATTTAGAAGAAATTATTTTTGAAAAAAGCCAGTTTTACACGATTTTTTTTCGTTTAATAAGCCAATATGAATATTTTTTTTTGTCATAGTTAGCATCTGATTAAAATAAATAGGACCTAAGTAATCTACAAATGATTTCCCAAATGATTTTCTTGTATATATCACTAGTAAGTTAAAAGCTCTATGTTTTCTAAATTTAGAAAAATTGTATACGTTGGTTTAGTTTTTTTGTACATTTTTTTTAAATTTATATCATTTCAGTTATTTTATTTGTATCTGTAAGCAACGATAAACCATTGCTTGACAGAAGATGATTCCGAGCGCAGTTGGGTAAAACATAATTTGAAATGCCGTAATTTTTTTGGTATTTTCGTTTAAATTTGATTTCAAAACACTTATCCCACATCTTAAACACATCTTAGTAAAACCAATAGCTCCCTCGATGCACTCTGAGTCTAAAAATGAATTTTAGTAGAAATAATTATTACAAGCACATTACTAATTTATGAACTACAAATAAAAATTTTAAATGTAAATAATAAAGACTTCCAGAATTCCTATGGATCATTAATATAGGTAACTATTAATATGGGTTACATTTTCTATTGAAAAAATATGTACAGAGTTAAAAACCAAAATAAAACACTTGAAAAGCAAGGAATATATTGGTTTAAGTGGTTTAATTAATTATAATTATAATTTTAGATTCTGAGGGTAACGAGGGAGCTATTGGTTTTACAATGCTGTTTATTTTTTCTTCTTTTTCTTTGTTCTAGTCTGTGTATTTTTTAACGTTTTTTTCCTAGTAAACTTGTTTTGTAAAGTAAATTTTTACGTGTAGCAATTTTTCTAAAAGCGCAAGTTGTCTACATTGTACTTTAGAAAGGTAATTTTTTGATTTTCGACGCTATTCGTAAGGCGTCGAGGCGTCGACCTGAGGTCTAAAATATAAAGCCATAAAAAGAAAAATAGAAGATAGCAAATAGTACTGGTCTCGGAAGATCAAATTACCTAAAGAACATTCGAGGTTATTACCGAATTTTTTTAAAGAGACCCATTTAAAAATGTTTTTTTTTTTATTAATTTCATTTTATCATAATCTAAATAATACTCACGATGATTTGTTTTTCTTTCATTAACGTATTGTTGGATAATTTGAGTTCCGCCGCGAACATCATCAGTTCATTGAGTGTTAACATCGGTTGAATTTTGTCCTCTTGCATTATGTAACACGACAACTTTCGGAACAATTTTTCATCCCTTGGTTGATTGTTCAGTTTCAATGTTCCACTGACGCCTTTGTAGCTATAAAACGTAATCACAACGATCAATATATTGGTTCCATTTAAAATAGCACTATATCAAATTTTATATACCCGAGTTATAATTTTATACTTTTGAATTATTATTCATGTAATTCGAGAAAATTAAAAAAAAAAAAATATATATAAATATCCACTAGAACATTTTTTTTCGGAAATTATATTTATTCTTATTTCGGAAAATTCTATACTATTTACAAAATACGAGTATATTGTTTGGGTATTTCAGTTTTATCAAATGAAATTTTGTTGAAAGTTTAGGTGTTGTGGATGTATTCTTGTATTTCCAGTTATTTTCTTATATTACGAAATTAAAAAAAAATGACCTTCACAGCGTACTAATAACCGTAATAATATATTAATTTAGGTACCCGAATACATTTTCATCTAAATAAGAAAGCTGAACATTAAAATTGATAATTGGTTTATTTATAATCAGCACCTATAATATTATGAGTAATAATAATCGTGATCTATTCTTTAATTTTTCGTTCCCTGAAGGACGTAAACACTGAAATTAATCAAATTTTTAATTAACGTAATGGACTAAAATATTAAACATATTAACTACACGCTGTTATTCATTATAATAATACATTTTGTTTTTTACAAATTTAAATCATTTTTAACGCTGTAACAATATAATTAAATATAGAAACTAATACCACAAGGACAGTTAGAAGCATATAAAATTATTATAGTTTAGAGATCGGCAGGTAAAATCATTTTTTATCTAAACAAATATTATGAACAAACTATATTTTATTTGGTTTAATCCTAGGAATAGTTGGTAGATAGTATAGCTATAATAATGCTATTTGTAAAGGTGTACCTACAGCATCAATTCCACGTGTTAGTAAATAAAATTATAACAGCAGATTAAAACAAAAATTACCCGTGAGCAGCAGACCACCATTACTAGAGTCCAATTTTTCACTATATCAATATTCTTTGTAAAACAATAAATACCAATATATTAAAATAATATATTACATCTTAACTATAATTTATTAAAATTATATGGGGGAAATATGTTTCACAATGAGCAATTATCATTATTTTTCAATTAATGAAATTATAATGGCATTTAAATGAAATATGAAAGGTTATATACTCAGAATATTATTGAGTACCTAAATATAATATTTATTTTATGAAGGACTTTAAGGGCTTTAATTTTATTAATGACAATGTAAAAATTAAAAATCAGACTGTCTCATTATGTCCATCTCCAGTGAGACATAATTTGAGATACTATGAGATATGTAAGTCCAGAGGGAGTTAGAAGCGTCCAAATTTAGCGGTCAAAAAATGTACAAAATAGACACAATACTGTACAATAATTCCTATATTTGGGATAAAAACAAAAATAGTGTCTATAGATTTACTATTTTTTTTCTAATTACTAAATTATCATTATGGAGGACGAGGAACCTTATATCAAATTCTCGAGAATTTAAACGAACCCAAAAAAATTGTACTCACATAAACACAAATTGAAAATAGCTATAAATAACATAAATAACGCAAGAATATCTTAAGGTTTTAAGTATTAGATGAATATTTTAGATCTCTAAGATTATTTTTACCGAATAATAACAACAAAAACAAATTAACAGAAACCATTCTTGCGTAAATATTTCCGTTTTTCAACATTATTAAGTACAAAGAAAATCAAAATATGACTTCCCCATTCCATCAACTCGATGACAAAATTTATTACCATAAAGATCGGAACCAGACCAAAAAGTTGTTTGTAAAAATAAAAAGTAGCATAATAGTAAAACTAATTAGTACGTACTATAATATACTTATAATAAATAAATTAAAGTAAGTATAAGTAAGTATATCATAATAAGTATTACTTATATTATAGATATTATCACCTTAATTATTAGGATTGTGTAACTCAATTTGACCTACCTGTATAGTACTTATATATCTAAACAATATTTAAGTACAATAAAAAAGAAAATACTACTCACTTATAACCGGATAACGCGTTTAATAAACTGCTTTTTCCTGCGCCTGACGGACCCATGATACAAGCGAGTTCTCCAGCTGCGAATCGACCATTTACCGATTTTAATATTGTTCGCGGTGAAACTGCAAGCAAAAAAACCCAACAACAATCAAATTACTATTGATTAATCTTAATTTTAATTATTATAAACAGTTGATAGAGTAATAGTAATTACAAAATGGCATACATGAAGCAGTTTGGCGTGTATTATATGATTATGTAAATAAATAATCCTATAATATAAACTTGTGGTTGTTGTGGTGTAATAGGATAGGCTTTTTTGTTGATTTTTAATTTTTTTTATACTGTATACAAAAATTCTACCAGAAATCTTGCTCTGATGTATACAATGTAGACCTAAATCTTTTAAATAACTCTATATTGATTTCATTATTGTAAATTTGTTGTTGTTGGATAATCGTGAATACTTATTGTAATACTAGGGGTCACGGGTTTGAAAAGAAATTTGTTGTACTTTTTTTTCCTTTTTATCCCTTTTAAGTGATCTAGAAACCTATCGCTCGCTCGGACGATTATAATCGAAAAATATTCCTTGATTTGCTGTGTACCCAGGAAAAACATGGGGAAACTGGGAAAAACGGGAACATCGATATAATATTAAATAAATATTATCAAAGAAAATATATAATATATATTTAATTATTTTTCCATAATATGACATATATATTTTTGACAAATCACCACTATCTGATCACTATCACTGAATTGCGCTCAGAATCGTTTTTTCGTTAGCAATGGTTTATCGTTGCTTACAGATATACATTAAATTACCTATAACAGTGGCTGCACCCGTCTACATTATTCTAGGACGTCTTTTTCTGTTTAGTCATTGTAGTTTATTCAACTAATATAACATTATTGACATCAATGAATCAATGATATTTCCATTTATATTGATTAGTATAGATAGTAGTCTATGGGTCTCGTACAAATATAGTAAACTCGTAAAATTAAAAAAAAATAATAATAATATTGTACCTACCTACGTATAAAACTACTTGAAATTACAAACTTGTTTATGTGAAACCGATCTGACGTAAAAAAGTGAAAGTAAACTACGGTTTCAAACTGCAGCATAAATCTATGGATTTTCCCCTCGGAACTCAAATAAAATACCTAATATAACACCCGCGGCACCATCGCATATTTTCGTCGTTATTATTAACATTATTAAAGATCTGTCAGAAGACGACGCAGTATTCGTTTTTCAAACAATTTCCTAGAGGACCAATAAATATGCACGTAATCACAAATATACGCGAACGTATAAGCATAATTATTTTTACGCTTCAAATGCAGTCGATATGCAATTTTCTGTTTTTCAATAACTGGTTAATATTAATTTTCAATAATGAAAAACAAACGAAAAGGCGTTTAATTCGGTTTTATAAATAAGCACATAATAGGTATAAAATATATAGAATCTTGTTGACGTTTTACATTTCTCTAATTATTCAGCTCGTGTACAAAAATAGTATTTCACTTTTTTAAATTTAAATACATAACTTTTTAAATAATTAATATTTCCAAAAAGTCAATGAATTGGTCTTCAAAATGTCATCATTTATAATAAGTTGTATAAATATATAGGTAGTACAGATATTCAATGTTTTAACTTTAAAACCGATTTCGATCAGGATAAAGACTTTTTTGTGCGTTTTACACATTTTTTCTATATTGTTCGTTGTAAAAAAACAGAGACACGAAATTCTATTTGTCGGTCTCTTAAATATATAGTTTCAATACTTTATTAACTTCCTCATCACAAGTCCGCCAAAGAGCATTGTGCAGTGTTTAAACAAATACAAATTTAATGTTTTGCAGGTAGACAAATTAATTTTATGTAGGTGCCTATGTTTATCTAATATTATAATGTGAAGTAATTTTAAACGAAAAAGAGCGTTTTTATAGTTATTATGTCAGTCATCGTATTATGCATTATTTCTTAACGAAAGTATTGTTTTTGTAGTATAATAAATATTTTTGTTTCTAAGTCCAAGAATAACAAGGTGCAAATTTATGTAACAGTAACTATAACCATTATGCAATTAGTCTTTTAATCTAGGTGGATATAAGTTTCAAAATGTTTATCAAGTTTATAAAGTTTAAAATTGCACCTCATCAGCTTATAATAATAATAATCATCCTATTTTAGAAATAATAGTTAGAATTGTTCTCCGCTTTACCGCCCAACACGTTACGGAATCGGATTTTAAATCTAAGATGATTTTGTAGAAAAGTGCTTCCTAGTTCCTGCCGTAAATAAAATATTGTTGTAGTTACAGCGACCTATTATGTTGAGAATCAGATAATTAAAATTTATTTAGATACAAATACTAAAGATATTAAAAATATATCTAGATATCAGATAAAAGTTACCATAACTAATTTAGATAAAAACAAATACATTTTTTGGAAACGATGATTTTAAAATTTTAAAACAATTTTACAATTAATTCGCATGTTATAGTGTAGAAATTATTGTCAAGCTATAATGTGTAATATATTAATATGGTCTATCTGTTATGATTCATAACAGATAATATAATATAATAATATAGTTAACTTCATAATCTTTAAAGTTTAATTTACTTACATATAAAATACGATTAAGAATTTTATATTCTGAGCGCTGGAAGTATAGAGGCTAATAATTCAGGTGGAGCTGCTGTTTTACTACACAATTCATAAACTAATATATATGAGCAATTTATTTTAAAGGATTGCTTAATCGAGCTCCGTTCAGAATCATTTTCGAGTCAGAATTGGTTCATCGTGAAGTATAGATATGAAAATTAAAAACTATGATCCTACACGTTTCCACTTTCCAATTTATCATAGTAGCACACCTAGTAATAAACCTATTTTTTCGTAAATGCTAAGCCTTGAAATATACATAAATATAGAAATAATTTGTCTAGATAAGTGACATTTCTATTTAAGATGTATTGACAATATTTACCTAGATAAGAATCAACCCTGGAATAGACTTCTATCGTATACAATTTTAATTTAAATTAGATTACGTTTACTTCAAAAAATGATAATAAAAAAAAAAAATAGATAATTTTAATATACAATAATTATACATCCTAGTATATGCATGTAATTTCAAAAATGTAATCTTATGCTGACACGTTTACAATACTTTTATACACATATATTACTGTATGAATATACAGTCATTGGAATTTAATTTTTATCATTTACGAAAATATTATAACAAAATACTCACGACGATTTTATATTATGACTGGCATAAATTTTTTATACATGATAGTATCTTATAGGTGGTAAGCTATCCGGCTAATTTAGAACCGTATTCAATTTATTTACGGTTTAGACTTTCTATAATATATATTCTTATACACGCGATGTCAGTGTCATTATAGGTACCACGTAAATAATGTAAACATTTGAATAAGTGAAACTTACAAATAACAAATATATATTAGTATATTGTATGGATCCACTGCAGTATCTATTATTGGTAATTTTAATGTACCTATCGTAAAAAAAAAATATACTTTTACAGAAAACCTTTAAATAAAAAATAAATTCCTAGGTATAATCGTATTCATTTTTCAATAAAACTAATGTAATTGTAAAAAAAATATGTAGTATTGGTCCCAGGGAATAAGGATTTAAGTAAATTTTCTATAGTTTTCAACACACTAAATTCAATTTTTAAACCTTCTAAATTTAAATAAAGCATCGTGATTCAACAGCTAAATGGCTAAATTGCTAAATGATCTTAGTAGTTCTAAATGGCTTAAGTCTTATAGGTAGATATTTGATTTGTGTATCTATTTTTTATCGAACAAACAGTACACTATATGACTTGAAATATTTTAATTTTCATTGTAAAATATAAAATATAAGTAGTTAAGCAGCCGGTTTGAAAACAGTTTTATAAAAATGCAGTCAATGTACTTTGTACCTACTATATTAAAAGGTCTAATACAATTGCATCCGTAATCAATAAATCACAGCCGTATAAAAATAAAACAATTTTTTTTTTAAATCATAATTATTGGCATATCTCTATAGATACTTATAGAAATGTGAATACAATAGTATATATATATGCAAATCAAGACAAACGTTAGGTACCTATGCATATAAAAATCCTTCGATTATATTATAATCAAATAATCTTGATCTAATATCGAATTGTACATCGGGAAAAACAACTATAATTATTATAGTTTCAACGCTAGGACGACGACTAAAATTTATTTTTCATGAAATAAAACTGTGTTGATCGATTTTGTTTTTTTATTCGATAATAATTATTCAAATGTTTCACCATTTAATAGGTATTATAATTTACAATATAATGAATCGGACGACAGCACATTCGTACTAAGTGTAATGTATTTTATTTAGCAATAAAATATTATATATTTTTGCAACAATCGCGCAATATACTGGTTCAGAAAAAACGAGTCGTGGACATATTATGTATATTGTCTAAGAAACCTAATAATAATTATTGTGTAACACACAACAATAATATTATAACGTTGATCTTGTAGAAAATACAATTTTATTTTAAAAAAACCTATTAAATGCAGATGTATGTAATTAAAAAAAAAAAACACTTGTGAGCAGCAGAGCTCAGCTACTAGATTCGAATATATTTTTCCATCACCTACTTTATATGTATATAATAATACGATATTATATATTATTATAGGAATTAAAATGCAACTAAATTACTTCCAGAAAGCAAAAAATAATTAAAAATAGTGAAATTAGATAATAAAAACAAACAGACATACTTCACATGGTGAGCGGGTTACTGTTGTAGGTGAGAAGTTGAAAAGGTAGGTTAAATGTATATCAAGGCAATTTAATGTGTATCTGTACACAAAGATTGATCATTTCTAACGAAAAACAATTTTGGTAATACATGTTTTGAAAGGCTATAATATAATAATTTATTGTGAAAACCTAATAAGAAAATCAAAAAATGACCTCCTGACCTCCACCTCAGTCAGATTCTTTCAGAAAAAGTGTTACACTTGAAGATTGGAGCAAAATTGTTGGTAGAAAAGTTGTTCACAGGAAAAACACTGTAAAACCAATACATTCCTCACTTTACTTAGAATCTAAAATGAAGTGTACCTAATGTAGAATTTTTCTTTATACGAATTTTAATAGCAAATTTTTACGAATATTGTTAATATTATGGCCTTTCAAAACGTGTACTACTACTGAACTCTGCTCAGAATAATTTTTCGATAGTAATGATTAATCGGTACGTACAGTCGGTATACATTAAATTTCCCTATGTATCCTAGCTTCCTAACTTCTCATCTATGACCTACAACAATTATAGTGGCCACCCATCGTGCGAGGTAAATTCGTCATTTTTTAAAATAATAATTTTGATAGTTCAGAACAAAATATAAATAATAGAACCTCGTATGTACAAAAATCTTAACATAATGCTTAATATCTCTTAAAAAAAAAAAAAAAAAAAAACTAAATATCATTGTAAAATCAATATATTCCTTTTTCTCCTTAAAATTTAAAATGGTATGGGGCCGGAGATGAAAGTGAAAATCCACAAAAAGCATATCCGTTATGCTAATAACGTCATTTATGCATACAATCCATATTCCCTGAGAAGTCTGTCGTAAGGGCTTACAAAATTAAAATAATATTTAAATAATAAATAATAACTGTGTTATAATTGATAACAAACATTTTCGTATTCAAAAAATAAGTATATCAATTGATATTAGTAGTAGACTAATGGTAATGAAAACAATTTAAATTATCATAAACTTAAAGATATTGTAGAAAATTAACGACTCGTCCTTAATAAACAAATGAACAAGTTTATATTTTGTAATTATAAAAACCCCATATAAGAATCATAAGGCACGGCACTAAAACTATATTATTAAAAAAAAAAAAAAAAACTTTAAAATATTGAATATAACAAAAGTTATTATATTTGTCCATGTAACGCTATAATCAACAAAGACAATGTATTGATGCAATAGTTCTCATTTTCGGAGAAAATTCGTTATAAATATTATTAGTATTATAAACGTGTGTAGTCGCGTGATGCTTACATCGGCAAATATTTGACGAAACGAACAATATATTATTTAGAAAGAATATAGAATATAGAAAGAAAGAAAAAATAAACATCTTAGTAAAACCAATAGCTCTCTCGCTACGCTTGGATCTAATATGATAATATAAAGTGTAATACTGTACAATTTATTGATTTCCTACTTAATTACATAAGCAATGATCAATTTACACACCTTGTATAGTTTATATGTACTATATATGTACCGAATATAAGCTCATTCCGCTCACCAATAACAATAATAATATTACCTACTATCGGGTATACAAGAACGGGATTTTTCGCTAAAATATTTTTGTCTTTATCAAAACAGACTACATACTGTAGTTGAACATAAGACGTATAAACTGCGGCTATCACGGTATATTGTGTCCCGCTCAAGGATAAGAGAAAAAAAGAAGGAACTCTCACTTTCATTTCGATTCCATCACTACTGCGTGTAGTAGTCCTACGACCTACGGTATGCCGTCTGCCTTGTGATTTTTTTTATTACGACTATTATATATCCCTCATGATGTTAACAATAATAATTTTTTTGCGGTCGGATAAGAAAAAAAACTAATGATTACTGAAAACTTTAAGTAAACTCGTAAAATTTAATTACGATCGCTAAGTTGTGGTAAAATATTTCATATTGGAGGTAGATTGGTGGGCACCTACAATTTCGAAAACTATACGAAACATTTTGCATATCCGTCACAGGTGTAAGATGTATAGGAACCGTTAAGTGCAACATACATTTTTTTACTACTATAAATTTAAAAAAAAAGTCTTGTCAGTATACTTTAAAGTGCAGTGGTTTACAATTTCAGCGATCTGCCCACTCGGATAAAACGTATACCATTTATTTTAATAAATTATGATTGATCAACTAGTAAAACGTTACGGAAATACGCGATCAATTTGTCAAATTATTTATTCAAAACTATATTATGTACAAACTCACTTATGTAGGTAAACAACCAACGAAAAGAAAAAAAAAACAATGAAAATAGTGTTCAAATTCAAATTAGGTTCGGGTATTTTGGAAATTTGCAGGTTCGACACGCAGACTCACATATATACGTAAAGGTAGTGCTGCCGAAACGAATCTTGTCTATCTTTGATGTCGATACTACAGTTACGGCTGAATAGCGTTTTACAAACAATAAATAATCGTATTATTATCGTGTTAACGAAAAAAATGAAACTAAATACTCGTAGAAAAAAAAAACAAGCATAATATTATATGTGTGTATATTGAACGGTTAGGGCTACTGGGAAGCCGGAAATTTCCTGGTGGGCCCCTCAATGGGCCCTTGGATTGCCCTTGGTAGTGATGAGCACGACTGAATGGAAACTATCGAATTATCGGTTTGTCTATAATAGATCCAGGTATATTAGCCTAGGCAAATAATTTGTCATCACCCGTGTCAAATTATAAAAGACACTCGGACACTTGGGAAAAAAAAGATCATTATTAATTTCATGTAGAGGCCCTTTTAAAAATGTTCCGATCGGCCAAAACTTGTCTGTCCACAAATGAATAGACAAACGGATAGAGGTGGTAACAATATAACTATTGTTATACTGTTTTGTCGTAAAAAGCAATTGGATAAAGGTAACGGAGAAAAAAAGTAACTCATGTTTGTTTGGAACCAAGTCTTACTTCGATCAGTTCGATCTACAAATTCAATTTCAATCCAAGAAATCATCTGGTAGAACGCAACCGTAATTTTTCACAAAAAAAATATTCTCCCTTCCCCCAGCAAAGGAACTTGGACGCGAATTGAGTAAGGAAACAGCATGAACAATTTTAACTCGCCCCATCAATTGGGCTAACTCAGCCTTAAAAGACTATCAAAAAAATACAATCTAATCTCAAATGTTCACTAATATAAAAGGCATTAAGCGTGTCATAGTGGCATAATGAACAGACCAGAAGCATTTTCATTCAAGCAAAGCAAGAAAAAGTGACCGCTATATTGTTATTATCGATTGGTGATTCTTGAAATAGAACCAACGTTTAACGGCAATGGAAGAATATGATGATGACATCTAGTGTATAATATATAAATTATTTGAAGTATCTAGTGGTGTACGCAGATAGAATGATGTTGAGGTAATATCACCCATTGGCTTAAAAATACCACAACTAGTGACAAGATAAGGTGACCATGATCACTAGCGAGGCAATAGTGCGACCGAAAAGAGCTGTTTCCGCATCGTAACGAATGTATGGGTGTATTGTTATTGTTATTATTCGTGATTTCTTTAATAGCGTAAAATTGTGATTAATAATATAGGTAAAATTGAATAATTATTATGGCGATCACGATCTAAAACAAAAACGTACACGGCGCGGCACCCATCTATGTGTGCTGAAAATTGTCGGAAACCGTCTGAGGTCATTTCCAACGTAATAATTACTACGAGATTTATGTTGCATATTATAATATTATTATTATCATGATTAAGGTTCCACAAATTTACAGAAAAATAACTGCGTACAGGTGCAGACTAAAGATATATATATATACATATACATATATGTATATGTATATGGGGTGTTCTGCAATGTTTGTAATGTTATATCATTATTTTTTTTTTCAACCAGGTTTCGGGTTAGTGGGATACATACAAAGAAAAAATAGTATATTTTTTTCATCCCTTAATTACTGAAAAAGAAAAATTTTATTTTTTCACTTTATTCTAAGAATTGTAATGTACTATATATTCATATCCGATCAACAGTTTCTGAGTAATGTAAATGTTAAACTTTAAACATTTAAATTGTACATTGAGAATATAATTCGTCATTATTTAATGATGATAATTATCTAGCATAAACTGGAGCCTGTAGGTCAGTGGCACTTTTTTTTAATTACACATCATAATGCTTGGCATACTGTATCTGTATAAAAAAAAATTTTAAATTACTATTGATTTTTATTTAAAGACATATGAAATCTGTTCCACCGACATAGTTACATTAATAGCATGATGGAAGAAGCCATACAGTGGTAATAGTGTAAAACTACTATTATTTGATTTTTTTTTTTTTTTAAGTTTTAAACTTTAAGAAGATTGTGACATCAGCTTCTGTTAAGGTGTTTCGAAGATTACTAAAGATTGTAAACACAGTAAGAATGGATATGCGGGGGTTAGTATGAGTTTTAAATGTATGCCGGGATGCATAAAACTATACGAAACCGATAGCCGGCTATCGGTTCCGTAAAATTGAAAAAAATTCCGTGAATTTGATAGTTCTTATCAAAAGCATAGTTATTGAATCGATCATTTGTAGAGCCGATTTCAGTTCATTAAAATTTGAACAAAAATATCACGAAAAAAACTTAATTAAATTTACTTGTAACTTATTTTCTTATTCTATGCGACTATTTACTGTTGTTACTTGTTACTGTTTTGTTGTTGTAAAAATATCAACAACATCATTCTTATTTATATCAGATGAGTCTGATAATATGTTATTTAAAATTTGTATTAATCTGCCAAAGCCGAGGTGAATTAGAGATCGGTCGAATCCTTTCGAAGATTAACATGATTTGCCGTTTTTAAACAAAAAGAAAAAATAAATAAATAAAAATAATATATAGGTAATAAAGAATGTATAATATTAGAATAAAATACAAAAATGTATAATTAACTATAATTTATTACTTTGATATTGAATTATCACGTTATAATTTGATATGGATAAAATATGTATACTGATAACTGAGAAAGTGGTTTTAAACAAAAAAATTAAATGAAATAATTTTATAGAACGCAAATTGTTCAATAACTGTAATTTTACAGAACAGATAGATTTTGGAACCAATAGTTTACCGTACGATTTGTATGCAACCAGGCATTAGAGTAACACTTACACAATACATTTTGGTTTAATTAATTATTTATTAACCTATCATTGTACCTACTGACCAATGAAAAAGACAAATTTTATGAGCAAAATCACCCATTTAAATATTTATACGTTTATTATATGTACATTATGTATGTATGATGTATAAAACTATACAACTTTTTACCCAACCCTTATCACCTACAACAGTGGCCCCTCCCATCCCCAGTGTCTGCTCTTTTTTTTTTATGAATTATGTAGTTTAATAAAACATTACAAGATTTGCCGGCCTAAGCAGGTGTTTACTCTGTATATTGGTAAATCCGCCTCTGATAATATATATATTATGTAAGTAGTAATAAAACATATGCCAATAAACAATTTTATTCTATCAAATCGTATTTTTTTTCAGGTTTATCGTTTTTATTTTAAATACCGTTTCGAAAATCAAAAAATGACCTAAATATTTACCAAATAGATAAAATTGACTCTCAGAAAAGACACTAAACTCATACATTGGAGCAAGTTTTCTAGGATAAAAGTGGTCTATAGTATGAAAAAAATAAAAAATAAAACACCATTGTAAAAAAATTTAAAAAAAAGAAAAACAGTCATTCGATGATTTTGGAAATTTTACCACGTCTAGGTAAGTCTAATATAAATATTAAATCAAGTATCGAGTCTCTACGTGTATTTACCATATAACCGAATTACAGCAAAAAAACTACTAAAATTAAAATTATTTAAAAGCTCAAAAGTTTTAGTGACGATACCTTAAAAAAGTAAATCAAAAAGGTATTTTGTGATTTTTCAATTAAATCATTTTTTCTAGTAAAAAATATCGTCCATGTTTTTATAAAATAATGAAATCGTGAAATTGTACGTTTTCCTACGTTTTTTCCCACTTAAGTAGTTTTATTTAAAAATGGCATAAAAAATCATAAAATGACTTCTTCAAAGTACAATTTAAACAACTTGAGCTTCCAGAAAAGTTGATACACGTAAAAATCGGAGTGATACTAAGAATAAAACGTGTCCACAGTTTAGAAGAAAGAAGGAAAGAAAGAAAGAATAAACATCTTAGTAAAACCAATAGCTCTCTCGCTACGCTCGGAATTTAAAAGAAATGTTACGTTAGATTATTTAGACGAAAAATTTTATCAGATGAATACATTATTACGGTTAGCACATAGTGAAGGTCATTTTTTGAAATTTTTAGTTCCTTTGTTTACAATAACGCAGAGAATAATTGACTTTGGAATTGTATCTTTAAACTCAGATAATTTGTCTGATAAGAATACCATATATGATGTTTATTGTTTGAAATTTTGAATTTACAAAAATAAATTTTATTGTAAAACGAATGTATTTATTATGATAAAGACACGAAGCGATAAATTGATAATGTTAATAACACTGATAACGCTGATATGTTTTACATTTGACATCGTGTTATAAACGTGATACTGAGTTGACAATACCAGTAAACAACGAATTTGGCAAGTAGTTTGTCATAAAGTGCATTTATGTTGCAACTAGCAAACAGTTGCACTTAAAATGCACGCTAAAATACATTTTTTACTATACGAGCAAAGAGTTTACTAAAATTAACCATTAATCGAAACGTGCGTGTTTTATTCCTAATCTATTACGGTATCTATTGAATCTATCAAGTCTACATTCAATTTTTACGTTAAACTTGAATGTAGAAAAAAAATCCACCGAAAAAAACCCACTTATTTACTATATTATAATTAGTTACATCAAGTATTAATAATTAAATCTATATAATAGCAATAGCATTTTATAATTTTATGTATAACAGTAATGAATGTATTCTTATTATTGTTTACTGATGCTTTATAGAACAATTGTTTAATATTGATTGTATAATCAATAAGTGTACATATACGGAATATAAATTATCAATTTAACATTATCGCAGGACGAAAATATTTTATCGTTTTGCCACAATCACGACATATCATAGCAGGTATATAATATTATTATATCGTCAGAGTATAATATCAATATGAACTCTGCAGGAGTCACGTACATAGTTTATTATTCAAAGCACGAAATACAATTAAAATATGAATTTGTGATATCATTGCTGCGAAAAAAAAAAAAAAGAAGAAATAAATAAATAAAAATAGGCATTTGTTTTTCATATCAAAACAATTTTTCAAAATGTCTGATACTTTTTATGAACATTTTATTTTGATTAGGTAAATGCTCCCGTTATTAATTCAAAAGCTCGGTAATTTTCGACCGATGGTATACTTTATTTGAAATATTTATCGACATTTTAAGCTGTTCACCTTTTAGATCCTTAACTTTCGTTTTTTTTAATTATCACAAAACTGACAACATTTGATGAATGAATGATTATTTTGAACAAAACTCTCTAAAATCAACGGAATACAGGATTGCCCACGTTACAAAGTAAAATAATAAGTCTTCATTATTTACCGATATTTATGTACATACTACAGAATGCAATGTTATCGGTCGACTTGATCAACCGACGACGACGGACCAGAATCAAAATATTGATCAGCCACCGTATCATACTACACAAATATATTATACATTATATATCCAATTGTTCGTAATTATACAATAAATTTTCGGGTTTTAAAAACAAAATTAAAATTATTTTTATTCGCCGCGTACGGGTTATATCGCATTGAAATGTGTGAACGCGGATTTTATGCATTTCACCGGAGTAATTTCCCCGCGTATAAGTGGATAATTTAAACACAGTACTCGTATCCGTTTGATAAATGCGTCTACTACCCATATAGCTTCACGTACGGTTTACACGTTGTTTTTTTCGCGTATAAATTGAATCCGAGCCAATATACTATAAAAGATATAGTCGGTATAGGTTTATTATACACGGTAATGCGATTCTTTTACTTTTTTTTTTTCGTCCGCCAACGGTCGGAGACACTGATTTGACTAGGAAACTCGAAAATGACGCGTCTGCGACTGTACGGCGGCGACAATACCTACGCGCGGTCCGAATCTATCTAAATATTTGCAACGGGCAATTTTGCACGCCGCCGTCATCGCCGAGAACCACATTCTTGTGGCCCACAGAAGTATACTTTTTTCTGCACTGCGGAATGTCTACAACAATATATTTATATATATATATAAAAGTTAATATTATATAAATTCAACGCGTACCTGTGCTCAAGGATGAATCGATAAAACAATAATGTACGAGTATAAGAAAGGTCCGTCGATTTTATATGTAATAACAAAATAGCCGACGATTACGTTTGTTGAAAAAATAACCAACTAACAGACACAAACGATAATATAATATGAAACGAAAATGTCTAATAGTTAGTAATAATATCGTCCATTTATGACGACGTGGTCTTCGGTAAACCGGCGTTTGTTGCATTGCAGTTTGCTACTCGGACGGCAATATTGCCAAAACGGTTATGCGTTTATGTACAGTATTTTACCGACGGATAACACCATAATCGAAAAACGGTAAACGTAGTTTTCAATATTGTTTGCCGAATCCGGCAACTCGGTTTTCGAAAAATTATCGCGAGTAAACAATGTCGTCAAAACTCACATATTATATTATTATTGTATTTGTATTTTGTCGCCGTTGGCTTTGGGTAAATCAAACATCGTACCGACGAAATATAAATCGGTAGATGCCGAAAATTATCTGTTACATTATGTGCTTATAATAATTTCGATTTTTTTTTTAACTTCAAACTCGGAAATTTAGTGTGAGCGGAATGCGCGAATCGTTGTTGTCGGTTTAAAGACCGTTCGCGAAGAAACGGCGAAACTCAACCTTCACGCGACAAAAATACTCGCGATCTTATACAGTATACCGTTCTCGGTGTACATAATATAAACAATATTTCAGTAGGAATTTATTTTCGCACATACACGAAACGTTATTATCTTCAAACACGGTCTCCTCGTAGGGAAAAGTGTTGTAAGTATATTATATTACACTGCAGCCAGACGTCATTCTATAGGTACCTAGCTGTAAATCATGACTGTTAAAAAGTGAAACCGCATCGTAGAAGCATACAAACATCCTGTAACTGCATAGGTATGTATGTAGGGGGGCATGTAAACTTTATTGCGGTTTAATTTACCAGATCTGGTTCCTACTTCGAGACACTACACCTATTATACTAGCTATAGTATATATATACCCATACAAATCCGAAAATTCAATCGTAATCTAACCTAACAAATTTTGAGATCTAATAATGCGTTACCGTGTAATGAACGCAAAAATCGAGCACACATAAATTATCTACGTAAAGGTATACTTTTTGATAGTAAATTATTACACTATTATAATGTATATAAAGGTCTATTATTTGTTCCTTTGTTTTTTAAAAAAAAAAACAAAAAAATAAAACAACAATAACAAAACGTGATAATACTATACAATCGTAACTGACCTTTGGTCTGCCAAAATGACGGTTTCACTTCGTAATTTAAATTTTCAAATTGGATATCCATGGCGGCGGCGGTGGTCGCGATCTTCTCGTCGGGGACGGCCTGCCGTCGGCCACGCGATGCGTTTCGCGGATTTCCGATCGTTCAAATATTATTCTAATTTGCAACACGCAAGTATATCGTATTAGTATTATGCGCGGGGCGATGCGGGAAAAAAATAAGATTGTTTTCTTTACATAAACGCGAAAAAGCGAAGAATTCTGGGAACGGGGAAACGACGAAGAAAAACCCGTATTTATAATATTATACTCGCGGCGTGTCGCCTGTTGTAGATCTAACCGCTCGGGACGCCTGCTGCCATTTGGGTGGACAAACGCGAAAAATATTATTTAAATACCGAATAATAATAATAGAAAAATAATAAAAAAAAAAAGGATACAATTTTTATTGAACCGTACGCGATCGCACGACCACTGAGACCGGACTGTTACTAATAGTGCCGCGACACTAGGCCGCGGTGAAAGATTGTTGTGGAGAAAAGCCGAGCCTTGACACTGCTCCGTGTGCGAGTAGCAGTGGCGGCGCGTGGCGGTGGTCTTGGTTGTTATTTTGTGAAACTGACTTTGATTCTCGCAGACTACAGCCGCCGCCAATAATTATTACTCCGAAAAAAAAAAAAAAAAAAAAACGAATTGTATAATTGACCGCGGTATGGAATATTATTTTAACAATATAATGTACTGCACATTAATAATAATATAGGTACGAGTAAACGTCCCACACCTAACCCCATACCCGCAAACGACCCGCCTTAATAATAGCGCCGAGCGCTAACAACCAGAGACGTGTTCGTAGGAGGATAGGGGAGAGGAGACGAGAGTATTATTGGTTCTTTTTTATTTTGTTCATGTATATATTACGCATAATTTACACCGCTTATTTATATTGTCTACATTTTTGTTGATATTTAGTGACAATATATACGTTTACAGATACGTACCATTTAGATATACGTAATACGAAATCATCGTATCAATTATTTACTTATTTTACTTTATTATGACCTAGGTCGGGATCTTTATAGGTACTAAATGAATACATGAAAAAATTACAAAATATAATATGCATTAAAAAAAAAAATAACGAATTTCGGATGCAAAATATAAAATACTTATAAAATAAATATAAAAAATAATAATATATAAACATTATGAAATAGTATTATATTGTAAAATACGCTCAATTACCATGACACCCGAGTTTACGATTATTTTGACTTGAAAATGATTTCACGATTTAGTTAAAAGCTCTAAATTTCTCACTCCATTTTAACCCTTTTTAATTCTCGTCTTAACCGTTATTTTATTTCAGGGTACTGGAGTAAGCTCCCCAGTACTCGCAAAGGTGAAAAATGGCCTTAAAGACTTTAAATCGATGAGAGATGATAGGGTAGAAACTAGAATTTATTATTAATTGTTACCCTAAATTCGGGATTTTAACCATATATTACCCGTAAACTGTTTTTTTTATTTTCAGTTGATGACGGAAGATTACCCCACCTGCATAGAACATATATGGATTTATTGAGACTTCAAACTAGTAAGAGTTAAAAAAGCAGCATCTGTTGTAATTTATTTTAACCCTCCTAAATGGACTTTATTTTTAAATGCTGTGGGTAACATCAGTAAAAATTAACTGACAGACCTAAAATTAATGTGACATGATTTGACGGAATTTGTTTATCTTTACAACCTAAAAATCGGTATTCTAAACGACATTTTAACACCACAACTATATTTGTATTTCTAGATGCTAAGAAAAGCATACCTGATCTCCTGCATAAGTCGAGAATAGACTTAAATGGAAATTAAAAAAAAAAAAAAATAGGTTTTATAGGATTTTAGAGGGTTACAATGTAGTAAAAGATTTCAAATTTTGGGTAATATTTAAGAACAAATTCTATTCTATCATCTCTCATCAATTGGAAGTTTCTTAGTCCATCTTTCACCTTTGAGTGTTGAAGGAAGCTTATTTCAGCACACGAAAATAAAAAATGGTTTTAGAGGGTTAAAATGAAGTAACAAATTACAACTAATGTGTCAAGGTAATTGAGATCAATTTTACTCGAAATATTCGTATAGATATGGCCATATAGGACATGGATAATCAATCGATAGATCGTAATAATACAAATCACTTTATGTAATATTGATAATATTATCATTTCGAATCTGAAAATAACAAATATTATTAATCACACACCGTTAAAATCTAAAGGTACTGCTTCATTGAACGTGATTTTCAATGCGAGCGATTTTCCCAGCGATTTTACGATTTTGGTGGGGCCACTCCCGCGTTTTTATCGATTTGTGGTAAATAGTTTCAATTATTAACAAGATGACTTCAAACCACTTGCTTAAAATACTTTTATCTGAAAGCCAGGCCCAACGAGGGTAAATCACATGAGTTAAATACTAGTAGGGAAACAAATGGTGGATATCATATTTTTTTTTTTGCGAATTAAAAACCTAGGTAGCTTAAGTATATATTATTATAATAAATTGAACTTGAATAATTTATATTTTGTATTTATTGAAAAAAATACAGAATGAATCACTAAGCGTGCTCACGCTATTTTTTTGGTAACATTTTGCGTGTATTCAGATTCTGATTTTTCGAATATTTAAGTGTTATTAAAGCCGATATTTTTGAGTACTTAGATTTTTCACAACATGAGTATCCTGTGGCGATACAAACTATGGCTTTTCAAATGAGAACCTATATTTTAAAATCCATAAATAGATGGAGCATTACTTTAAATAAATGTTGGTGTCAAAATATTTGATTTCCGTCAATTCGTGAACGAGATATTCTACTTTTAAGGTTAGGTAGGACGAGAGTAGTGGAGTTTCATTTATGTTATAGTACGACACATAGCGTTTGAATAGTGCTCTACTACTTTCCCGCTACCTAAACATAAAAGTGAATAAGTGAACGGTTTGAAGGAAATCACAAACTTCAATACCAAAATTTATTTAAACTAATATTCCGTCTATTTATGGAATTTTAACGCAGGTTAGGTTACCGTTTGAAAATAAAGAGTTGGTAGGTATCATCACAGGATACTCCTTAAATGTTGTGAAAAATCTAAGTATTCGAAAACATCCAAAAAAATTGAGTAAGCACGCTTAGTAAAGAGCTCAATACAATATGGTTGTATTTACCATAGATATTCAGTTCCCTGCTCAAATCAGACCAACGCTGTTGGATAATAGTCCTATTTTAATGACTTGCGTGGCGAGAGTTCCAAATTTGTTCTTTCTTAAAAAAAAACTGCAATTAATTTTTCAGAATGAACCGACACATGGTGGGCTTTTCAAAAGCGATCGAACGCAAGAAAACAAATTGTTTTAATTTGATTGCGATAAAAGCGATTAATTTTAAAACGCGAAACGGCGAAACAAGTTTTATAAGACCATCTGATATTGAGTTGAATAGTTTTGAGTAGTTTTGATTAAATGGTAAAACCGCAAATCGCGTTCAGAGGAAACGAACCTTAATAATATTGTTAGCACGATAATCTAATCACACCGCGCCCTTACAAATTATAATATAGTCATAATTACTATAATTATAACTTTTTTTGTGTTTAACGTGCGCCAAAATATTTATTGATACCTAGATTACCAGGGTCGCGGTCATCTGTATATCTTAATTTCGCCACGGGACGATACCTATTACCTTAAACGTAAATTATTTCGTTTTAAACGACCGACGTCATTATGTAGGTACTTTAGTTTGTAGTGATACGAGAATCCCGGGAATACCTATATCCGTGCAGGAAATACGATTTAACATTCGGGAAAAGTCATTGTTTTTTTTTGGTAATATTTTGGTTTTTTCACAATACTCATTAAATAACAATCAGATAGGTACTATATAAATATTAAATTTTTTTTTTAACGCGGTCAATATAAAAGTTACGAAATTAAAATCATAATAGTCTTGTTATGGCGGTGTAGAGGTTGTGTAGTGCAGATAAGCTCATCACGCATCGATGACGACGATGACGTGTTTTCGTAGAATAAATTTTTTAATCTTTTGACGTATCTAGTTAACAGGTAGTTAAACACTCGTCCCGGAAACAACAAAATTGTTACTTTTATTTTTTCTACATAACGTCTTTATTTATATCACATCCACTAGATGGAATATGCAAAGTTACCTAGTTCAACGCATGGAAATTATTTTTCTTCTTTGTAAAATACTTAAAAAAAACCCATGAAGTAGACATATTTTCACATAATGGATACATGTGCAATAGCAGGTACTGAAATCATGTAATTTTTTTTATATTTTGACCATCCACTTCGTGGAATAAACGATATTATAATATGTATAGTAATTAGGGTGTGGATTTAAATGCTCTAAAAAATAAGAAAAATTCCTTTGAAAAATAAAATTTAACGCACTCATAAAAAAAAAAAAAGGTTAAATAAGACGTCCTAGAATAATGGGGACGAGTGCAGCCACTGTTATAGGTAATTTAATGTATACCTGTAGGTAACGTTAAGCCATTGCTTAAACAATTCTGAGCGGAGTTCAATTGATAGTGATGCTTTGTCAACAATATATATGTCATATAATAGTAAAATAATTAAATAAGCTTCATATATTTTCTTTAATAATATTTGTTTAATGTTGTACTGGTTTTCCCATGTTTTATCCAGTTCTTTAACATTTAACTGAAAAACTCTTCCCTAGTCAGATTTCCTTTTTGAAACATTGCTATCATTATAAATTGGAGGAAAATTGCTTGTGAAAAATTGGGCACAGATAAAAAAAAAAGAACATCTTTGTAAAACCATAAGCTTCTTTGCTACACTCAGAATCTAAAACAGCGTAAAAACGGTGATTTCGAAAAAAGATAAAATACTTTTACTGTTTGGTTAATCAAAACAATAATTGTATTAGTTAAATCGACTTGTTCGTCAAGTGTTTTTTGAACGTTAGAAAAGAAATTTTACGCGAACAATATAAAATGCTACAAGGTTAGATTAGGTTAGATTCCCTTTATATGTATTATAGGTAGGTGTGCGGTTTTTTGTTTTCGTATAAAAAGAATAGTTATTATTACCGTGACATTAAATATGGATCCGATCAACAGTCCCATGCCCTCAGAGACAAAACATACGAGTAAACAAATGATGTTGAACAATGTAAACCGCTCGAATTCGTTGGGTAATCCGGACATCCAGTATACGAGGGTCGTATAAATATTGCTGAAAAACTCCTGGAAAAAAAAAAAAAAAAAAATAAAATAGAAAATATAATTTTATTATTATTAATTATGAATTATGATGTTTTATAATACAAGGATGAATGTTGGTAAAAAATGAAAAATTACCTCTCTAAAGTACCACCCCAGTCAGATTTCCTTTTAGAAACATTGTTATAATCGGTAAATCTATACTTATATGCATTTTAAAAATAGAAATAGAAATTTTTTTCTCTAGGAGGAATTTAAAATAAATTGTATTAAAGATAACACTGAAG